CACTTGTGTAATATTATTACGTATGTTTTTTGTACATAGTAGTATGTCTGGAGTCGTGTCATTATTATTTGGCATTATAAAAGATGGATAAAATCCGAATTGGTTAGGAAGGTATTTGTCTTTTCCTTTTATTATTGATTCTTATCACTTTGAGGTCTCTTTTAAGGCTTGCAAGTCTCTCTGTAAGAAACAGCGTTTAAAACGATTATTAATCTTTACAAACCCAAAGCACAAGAATAATTCTTTATTACAATTATTGACTTGCCTCTATATCCCAAACCTATTCCCTGTCAAATGCGCATGCGTTCCGTAGTTTGTCACTGTCAAGTGTTTCTTTAACAAATTTCAAAGTAAAAAGTTATGCAGGTACACTGCATTGTGCCATACCAAACCAACCCAAACTTAACAACCCAACCCAACCGACCCCGCCCCATTGAGCAATAGAGGTATAATATATCTAAGGGCAGGCTGGATTGTGACAATGGGGCGGGAGGGGCCCAATGGGGCGGGGTCGGTTGGGTTGGGTTGTTAAGTTTGGGTTAGTTTGGTATGGCACAATGCAGTGTACCTGCTGCATAACCAAAATGACAGCTAATCGTCATAACCTTGAGGAATACTTTGCTACATTTAGCGCATGCGCATTTGACAGGGAATAGGTTTGGGATATAGACGCAAGTAATTATTGTAAACAACAAAAATGGCCGCCATTAAATGATGTGCAGTGTTGCAGTGATTTTTAGTACGAGATCGAACAGACCTTGTTTTGTGGATTGTGGATACACGCAGCGGAAGTCATACAGAAAAAAGAGGGCAAAAAAATAGCAAAAAAAACCCCACGATGCACTACATGGCTGTTTGCACATGACTATTAAATCCTTTAATATTTCGACCATCCTTTGTGGAAATCTATTGCATCTTTACAAATCTAATGTAGATATTGGAGTTTTGGCACTGATCAGTTTAATTTTGTGCTGTGAGCCCCATATTGTCCTCCCAAGGACACTTGACACTTGATTAGTGTTGCCAATCTGTATAATATAATTATTGACTAGTATTTAAGGTAGCATCAGATTAAAACGCTAAAGGACTTTTCAACATTTCTGATATATATATATATATCATAAATGTTCCTGAAATGCATAATAGAAATATTTCAATTGAAACGTTGCAGGAACATGTAATATGTAATATTAAATTGCAATGTTAATTTAATAACTAGGGATGGGATATTTAGGTACTAAAAACTGAAAAATAGGTAAATAAAAAGGTACTAAAAAAAGCATTTTAGGTTTAAAAAAACAGCATTTTAGGTAAAAAAACATAAAAAGTTCAAGTTTCTTTTATAATTTTGTTTAGCCGCATACCCAAACACAGAACATACCCACAATAAACTATTTCTATGCAATAAACTGTGTTTCACTGAGTGACACTCACTACACAGAAATTCTATGACAGAACATAAGCTCAATACAAAGAAATACTGTAAAGAAAGTTTCTGTTATAGTCTGTGACCCATAGAAATAATTTAGAATAATAGAATAATTTCTATGCTGTGACCATAAGAAAAAATTCTATACCGTTGAGTTGCACGCCCTGGATAAAATATTGGCGGAAAATTTAAAAAGAACACAAAAAAATAAAATAAGTAAAAATACGTAAAAATAGATAACAAATATGTGAAAATAAACTGACAAATTAAAAAATATGTAGCAAAAGTATAAAAAGGTAGTTTAAAGCAAAAACCTCCAAAAAAGGTAAAAAAGGTGAAAACTAGTTAAAAAAATAGGTAAGAAAAGTATAAAAAAGGTAGTTTAAAGCAAAAGGTAAAAAAGGTGAAAACAAGTTAGGTTCATATACATAGAAAATCTTTTAAAACACATTTTGGCATTATTGGTTTTAAAATAGTTACATCGGTTGAAAAAAGGTAAAATAACTAAAATCCCATCCCTATTAATAACTGAAACATATTATTAATATACATATACATTAATGTACAGGGTGGTCCACGTAAGGTGACCCATATACTTATCTCAGAAACTACTGGAGTCGCAAAAAATTTGTAAGAAACAAATATTCACGAAGTAAAAAATATTTTTAAAATATTATATTTTCATTTATACAGGGTGTTCGGTTTTCCTTGGGACGATACCAACTTTCTTATTTTCAATGGAACACCCTATATTTTTTTGCATTTTTGGATTCTACCCACTCTTTTAGGTATACTTTGTAAATATATTAATTAAGAAAATGTTAATACTTTTTGAGTAAAATTAGGATTTATTAAAATTTCTCTAAATGTAGACACTCGCTAAAAGTTAAAAATAATCAACTAAAAGTTATTATTTTTTATATTATGTAGTATCCATCTCTTTAATAATAAGTAAGCTATAAGTTAATTATTATATTTTTTGGAAAATATCATACAGGGTGTTTTCTATGTCCCGTTGAAAATAGCGATTTTAAAAGTTTAAAATCTTGCTTTTCTTCAATGGAACACCCTATATATTTTTGCATAATTGGATAGAATAAGTAATTACCTTTCATTTTATATATATATATGTCCTATACCTAAACGTAACAGAAAAAAAAATATTCACATTTTTCACAATTAGTAGCTTTTTTCCAATTACCTTAGTTAAATTTTCATTATTCAAATAAATAAATTTCAATAACAACAAATAAAAATGCTTTTATATATAAATATATATTACTATAATAATTACCATACGCGCAAAGCTACTAATTTTGTAAAATGCGAATTTTTTTTTTGGTGATCCACGTAAGGTGACCCATATAGGTACTTATCTCAGAAACTACTGGAGTCACAAAAAAATTGTAAGAAACAAATATTCACGAAGTAAAAAATATTTTTAAAATATTATATTTTCATTTATACAGGGTGTTCGGTTTTCCTTGGGACGATACCAACTTTCTTATTTTCAATGGAACACCCTATATTTTTTTGCATTTTTGGATTCTACACACTCTTTTAAGTATACTTTGTATATATATTAATTAAGAAAATGTTAATACTTTTTGAGTAAAATGAGGATTTATTAAAATTTCTCTAAATGTAGACATTCGCTAAAAGTTAAAAATAACCAACTAAAAGTTATTATTTTTTATATTATGTAGCATTCATCTCTTTAATAATAAGTAAGCTATAAGTTAATTAATTTATTTTTTGAAAAATATTATACAGGGTGTTTTCTTTGAATAATGAAAATTTAACTAAGGTAATTGGAAAAAAGCTACTTATTGTGAAAAATGCGAATATTTTTTTTTCTGTTAGGTTTAGGTATAGGACATGTATATATAAAATGAAAGGTAATTACTTATTCTATCCAATTATGCAAAAATATATAGGGTGTTCCATTGAATAAAAACAAGATTTTAAACTTTTAAAATCGCTATTTTCAACGGGACATAGAAAACACCCTGTATGATATTTTCCAAAAAATATAATAATTAACTTATAGCTTACTTATTATTAAAGAGATGGATACTACATAATATAAAAAATAATAACTTTTAGTTGGTTATTTTTAACTTTTAGCGAGTGTCTACATTTAGAGAAATTTTAATAAATCTTAATTTTACTCAAAAAGTATTAACATTTTCTTATTTAATATATTTACAAAGTATACCTAAAAGAGTGGGAAGAATCCAAAAATGCAAAAAAATACAGGGTGTTCCATTGAAAATAAGAAAGTTGGTATCGTCCCAAGGAAAACCGAACACCCTGTATAAATGAAAATATAATATTTTAAAAATATTTTTTACTTCGTGAATATTTGTTCCCTACAAATTTTTTGTGACTCCAGTAGTTTCTGAGATAAGTATATGGGTCACCTTACGTGGACCACCCTGTACAGTGGTAATAATGCACATTTAGGCCAAATTGTGACAAAGATGCATGCAATATAAAACGTACGAAAGAGTGAGATTAACAACCATCGACTGGTTAACAAACGTGATTCCCCTCCGTCATGAGCGTGCAGTAGAAATTTTTAAAACAATTAAATCAAAACGCCAATGTTTTACTTCCCCTTCTTTAACTATCTGCGTTACCCGCCGGGCGGGTCCCGCCCACTCGACATGTTCGAGATTCGCTATTTAGTGTCAGTTTCATTACGACTGAGGTAGGGTGTTGTCGGTTGTTATAAAACAACGTAAATATTTTATTATGATTTTGTTTACAGAAACAAAAATTCCTTGCAAATATTTCTTAGGAAATGTGGAAAATAAACAATAATATTCTTGTAATAAAAAACAAATATTCTCAAATAAAAAATTATTCTAAAAAACGTAAAGAAAAAATAATTTAAAGCAAATGTTCAAATAGCTGCCCAAAAGCTGCCGAACAATACGTCAACCTGTTGTAAAAATTTGGACATTTGACAGCATATTAGGGTTAATATTTCTTAATGTATCAATAATCATTGCTCTTAATTCATCAAGATTATTGGCCCTAAGATGCTGAAATCCATACATTTTTGACTTTGGTCTGACGCCGCTACAAGTTGTCTGCCCAAGGCAGAGTGCCCCACCACTCCTGGAGTGGTGGGGCACTCCACACTTTACACGTCTTATATGGCATCTCTATTGTTAGCGTCTTTGTCTACAAAGGGGAATACGCGTACATTACCACCACTGTATAGTCAGGCAGACCTGGCAGAGAATCTCAAACTAATTTAAATTATTTAATTTAATTTTAATATTTTTTAATTTAGCACTAAAATAAAAATAAAACTGCAATAATGTATATGGGTCATTTCACGCCAAATCGTCCACTTTTAAACTTTTTAAACTAAGCCTTATCAGGAACTGTAGTGATAAATATTCTGCACATTAATAATAATTATTATTTTTATAATTATTGTCGCTAGTGGGGCGTTTCCGAACACATATGTCCCCCAGACCAAAAATGCTTGTCTCGGTGGGACCTACCACCCCCTTGATTTTTTACCATTTATTTCTCATGTTTATTGAAATTTCAGGGTGACAGTGTGGGCGACGCAGTCTCGATGTGCCTTGGCGAGGCAGAAGCCGCCCAACGGCGTGTTCTAAACGCAGCCGACGTGACGCAAGACGAGCGCGGCCTAAGGGAGTTGGTACAAGCCGGCGCGTTTCGTTCCGCCATTAACTTAACCGCCAGGTTATTAACCATATACGGCCAAGGCCGAGGCAGATCAGGCTTTCAATCGAAGCACTCGCCGCACTCACTGCAACTCTGGTTCACGAGAATTGCCTTATTAGTCAAAACTAAGGCTTTTAATGTGGCGCAAGCGGAAGCTGAGCCTTTTGGTACCTTGGACAAGCCGGATTTATACTATCAGTTTTACCCGGAGATGTACAAGGGGCGGTTGGGGTCCATAGCATCGTTTTCATTCAGGTTGCTGTTAGGGGAGTTGCCTATGCATTGTGGGAAGGCCAAGGATTCGTTGACAAGGTTGTTTAACATTTTGGCCACTGTTAGGCAGGTCAGTGTTATCTATAGTATGGTATACCCAGGGGCGCACAGAGGGGAAGCGGGTGGGGAATTTGCCCCGCGTTCGAGGTGGACCCGCGCTTGCTCATTTGAATAGGTACGGTTGTTTACCCGCTTAAGATAAAAAACTATGAAAATGCAAATGCAATGCAAATGAAAATTAAACTCTGGGAAAATAGGGACCACACAGTTTTTTAGTTTTTTGCCCCGTGCACCTATTTAACTCTGTGCGCCCCTGTGTATACTATAAGGTATTATTCAAAGAGCATACCTATGTATTTATTGCAAAATTCATAAATAGTTAAAAAATAAAGGTAAACAGTAAATTAAAAAAAAAATTGAATGCTATCCTTGCGAATTATATGACAAAATACGGCAAAATGTAACATTTTTGTGGAATAATGTTTAATAATACTTTTTCATTACATGGTTTTAAAGTATTTTTATTTTGATGGTTTGCAAATATTTACTTATGTAAAATTATAGTCTATATACTGTATAGAACAAATTTCAAAAAAAGTTTCAACAATAAAAGTTATTTTTTTTGTTAGATATCGCGTGCTATGGCTAGAGATGTAAAAAAAACGGTTTTTTTTTCAGATGTGAAAAAAAACATGAAAAAAAACCTAGAAAAAAAACGGTTTTTTTTTGTTTTTTTTCAAAATGAAATTTTGAATGAATATATTACATTTTTCATTATTGAAAATTTTGACCAAGACTAAAAAATTAAAGGATAAATTTTTTTTTGCGATTTTTCGGATAGCTGTATCTTTGTTAAAAATGGTCGTATCGGAGCCGTAAGAAAAGCAATTTGAAGCTTGAAGTTTATAGTTTTGAGATTTTTAGATGAAAAACGTGCAACGCTCAATTCTAACGAATTCCGTAATAAAAAAATCGATTTTTTTTTGCTTTCTTTTTTGGTCCACGGAATGTTCTGACTTAACCACCAATAAATAAATGTTCTACAAAAATTTGCTGTTTTTTGAAGAAAAAAAATTTTCATACTCTACATAAATTTGAAAAATCATAAAAACAGTGCTTTTGGTAGCTTTTTGAAAAGTCAAGCGCTGAATTCAAAATATTATATGTAGTTACTTTTTTAGGACCAAATCAAAAGAAGCGCGGCCCTTATTGGTCAAATCGATGGTTAAGGCGCGTGCATAGCGCCAGACTGTATTCCATTTACTAATTGTCATTTAGTGGCTAATTTTAGTCCATGGAAACATAAAAAATTAGGCAAATGGGACTAATTTTGAAAAAAAACCTAAAATGTGAAAAAAAACCATTTGAAAAAAAACAATGAAAAAAAACCTGAAAAAAAACAAAAAAAACGGACCGTTTTTTTTCAAGTCGCATCTCTAGCTATGGCGAAAAACTATTTTATATATTTTTTTCTTTAAACAATTACCAAAACTTAATTATAAAAATTGTACCTGTTACTCATTCCAGTACTCTTACTGTAAAAAAAAGAACTTACAAATCCATAATATATCAAGGTAAAATGTAAAATACATTTTCTATTTTCCAGATGATCGGAAACCTGAAACGCGGCGTGTGCGAGGACGGCAACCCAATGGAAATCACGGAATCCGACCGCGCGGACTCTCTCCGCTTGTGGAACGGTCGTGAGGTGCGCGTTATGCACTCCATCGTCAACTGCGCCCTCTCGCTCAAACACTACGACCTAGCAACCGACATCCTCGGCCAACTCATCGATAGAGAGGGCGCGCCCAGAGCGACTCTACTAAGCGCCTTGGGAAGACTGCATTTGCAGATGGGACACGTTGCAAGCGCGGAACAATGTTTTAGTGAAGCAAGAGAGGCGCAAGGGTTTCCCCAAAATGCCCCCTTGGGGTTCAGGGAGTTGGTAGATAGGGGCTTATTGGCGGTCGCGCAGAATTCCTTCGATGATGCGTACGTGTCGTTTCAGCAGGCGAGCGCGTTGGAACCATCTAATATTATGGTAGGTATTTTTTGTACTACTTATGCAAATATATGTTTTTTAAGTTTTACAGGTATAAAATATTAATGGCCACTTGCACCGTTGGTTTAACAGAGGTTTAATTTTTAACACAGGTTTATTTTTCATAATTGGCTTGCACCGTAAATTAATCCTTGTTTAAATACCTCTAATGGCCACTTGCACCGTTTTCTCTAACTGATCAGTTAAATAAACTGACAAGTTAAAAGGTAACAGGAGATTAGTGTCCAAAACCTTGCACCATGATTTTTTTACTATGGTTTAAAATTTAACTGTAGATATAGGGAATTTGACTAAAAAATTGAAAAGATTGGTGCTAATAACTAACTTCACACTTATTTGTGACTCAAATATATTTTGACGTTGAGAGTTAGATTCTATAATCTGTGGTTCGACTCTTTATCATCTGTGGTTCGATTATATTTCATGTACGACCGATTCAGTTGATGGTAAGAGAATAATATGGATACAGAACCTGAAAAAAAGGGGGCTCTCCTCAAATTTTTCAGAAAATGAAAAAAATCATTTAATGGGGTAGTTAAATTTTTTCTGACCTATACTTTTTATGGTTTTATTCAAGGCGTTTTGTAATTTTAAACATTTCTGTAAAATCGGAATTTCAATTGAGTTTACCGTTTTCGAGATATTTACAAAAAAAATCTCCTAATTACGTCACTAGTCTATTGACAACGTTGCCAGCTTTTTCTATGGTTGCCAGTGTGTTTAGTTTAGGATTCTTACGATAGATGGCGCCACGTTATAATATTTTAGTTTTAAAACCGCTTGATCTATAATTTTAGTTGAGAAGAAGAAGAAGAATTGATTTTTTGACGTTTCTTTTTTTCGGGTTATGTTTTTTTTAAATTTAGATTATTGAAAATCAATGTTATTGTTATGTTATTTGTAATTGATATTAGATAAGTGATTTATTAATAACGGACTCCAAAGCAGAGGAATCTTGTGAAATGGTTGGTTACATTGAACATTGGAGCTTTTAAACAAATAAAGTAAGTACCTATAATCATATAATCATATTTTGTCGTAAATGCATTTCATTAGTATAATGCCTAGTTCTTTATATTCTTTTAAATATATCTTGGACTCTAAAATATCAAACAGTAATATGATACCTCGTAATAAGGAAGATAGGTACTTAATGAATTTGGTGACCATCTTTCACTCAAGTGACAGTGACAGTATTTGTACATAACCTCATAGAAAAAGGATATAACCTCTTCGGGTATTTTCTGATATAACCGAATGAAATCATTAACAAGACAACTTGACAACAGGGTAATTTTCAACCAATAGAAATCTCACAATCGTCACATGGCGAGGTTTGTGACTTCATAAAAATTTATATTTTTTGTAAATATCTCGAAAACGGTAAACTCAATTGAAATTCTGATTTCACAGAAATGTTTAATATTACAAAACGCCTTGAATAAAACCATAAAAAGTATAGGTCAGAAAAAATTTAACTACCCCATTGTAACTCATCCACAAGATCGCATTATGTTTCAAAATCAATTAATACAAGATTATTTTGCGAATTTATAAAATTTAATGTGAATAATATTTTTGATGTTTTATTTAATTTATACTTATTTAAAATGAAAATAAATTAAATAGTCACTTGTTTATTATTATAAAATTAAATTAAATAAAGTTTTTATTGCATATTAAATCCCAGAGTCATTTCTTTTTCATCATTTTTATTGTTAATTTCCTGCTCTAATTGTTTTAGCCCTATCTGTCTCTTTGTTTTCAATGAACACATACATAATACAGATATTCTAACAGCTAGCCAACACGGATTTCAAACACATAAAGGAACAACAACAGCAATAAGCAACTTAATGAACTACATTCTAACACAACTTGACAACAAACTAACGGTAACTGGTTTAGTACTAGATTACAAAAAGGCATTTGACACAGTGAACCTTGACTTATTAATTTCAAAAATGAAAAATATGGGAGTAACTGGAAATTCTCTAAACATGTTCCAATCATATCTAACAAATCGACGCCAGTTTACAGTGGTAGGGGACCAATGCAGCACAATAGAGGAAATCAAATATGGTGTTCCTCAGGGGTCAATTCTGGGACCCTACATGTACTTACTTTACATTAACGATCTTAGCCTATATAAAATACATGGTAAAATGCTTATGTATGCAGATGACTTGGCAATTTTTTACAAGAACGAAAACAACAAAGACACAGAAAGTAAAATTAAACAAGACTTAAATACACTAAAAAAATGGACCAATTCTAATCAACTTACCCTAAATCATAAAAAATGTCACTTTATAAACTTTGAATCCAGAACAAGAGAACATCAAATTAACATCAAAATCAAGGAGCCACTAAAGGAAGTTAAAACAATCAAATACCAGGGACTACACATTGACAATAAACTAAACTGGAAGCAACACATACATAAACTAAATGAATCTCTCTCTTCATACATATACCTAATGAACAAAATAGCAAACACACTTCCTCTTAAACAAAGAATCTTAGTCTATGATTCCTATATTAAGAGTCAATTGGCATACCTCATACCTTTTTGGGCAACAGCAAACGAAACCGCTAAAAAATCGTTGCAGCGAAATCAAAATAAAATATTAAAGATTATGCACAAATTGGACAAATACATGCCTACTGAACAACTTTATAAGATCACCAAACAGCTAAATATCGAAGAGCTTAGACAACTAGAAACCCATAAATTAGTGCATAAGATCATAACAAATAAGATACTGGATGAAGAAGTAACATTTAGAAAAAGAGCGGACACACATGAACATAATACAAGAGGACGTGAACAAATAGACATAGAAAGAGCCAAAACAAAATATGGAGAAATGAAAATAAAACATCAAGGGTACAAACTATACAACAAATTACCAGAGAATATAAAAAACCTACCCGAGACGACTTTCAAAACCAACTTGAAGACTTTTATTTTGCACCAAAGAATATCTACTTAATATATTTACTTATTTATTATTTATCATATAAATCCAATATTATACATACTTATTTATTTATTATATTTATACTTATCTGATATTATCGCTACTGTGATATTTAGGATGTACTTTTTTAAATAAAAAAAAAAAAAAACTCTTGTATCCACAAGATTAATTAAATGATTATTTTCATATTCTGAAAAATTTGAGGAGGGAGCCCTTTTTTTCAGGTTCTGTCTCCATATTATTCTCTCTTATCAACTGAATCGGTCGTACATGAAATAGAATCGAACCACAGATGATAAAGAATCGAACCACAGATTATAACGAATCGAACTCTTAACGTCAAAATATATTTGCGTCACAAATAAGTGTGAAGTTAGTTATTAGCACCAATCTTTTCCATTTGTTAGTCAAATTCCTTAGATCACTAGTTAAGTTTTAAACCATGGTGAAAAAATTACGGTGCAAGATTTTTGACACTAATCTCCTGTTACCTTTTAACTTTGCTGCAAAGTTAAAAGGTAACAGGAGATTAGTGTCAAAAATCTTAACTAGTGCCACTCATCTGGAAAACCTGGAAATGTCAGGGAATTTAAATTTTTTAGAAATGTCAGGGAATTGGCAAAAAAATCTACAAAGTCAGGGAATTCCTAAGTCGGTCAGGGAATAGGTTATTTATAAATAAAACTGGTCAACAAAATTACAATTAAAAAAAATTATGTTAACGAGTGTAATTTAAATTTAATTTATTCAAAATATGGCAGCGCTATATGTCAAACTTATTACTATAACCTTAGAAGTCTATATCACGACTTATCACTATAACCTTCTATAACCAAATATTTTTATGTTTAGGGTGATAAATATTTGTTTATTTTGTTAATGGTAGGAATAATTAATAAACTAATTAAGGTAAACGCACTAGTACTTGACACCGTGTTAGTAGTTGACATTCTTGATTTTAATCTTTCAAAATAGGAAATTAAAAAATATTTTTAACAATCTGTGAACGCTAGGACTAACTATCGACATCTGTGAGGTGACTGTCCAATTTTGAAATCATTCTGGCTTAAAACCGCATTTTGGCGCCAATTTTGTGTTGAATGGTCAAATCCAGTTCATTTGTTGTGAATTTACTTAATATATGTGATAAGAAGGTAAGTTTATAAAAAAAATATTTCTGAATTAAACTTTGCATGATTTTGATTGTAGTTGTACCATTTTGATGGGCAGATATAAGAGAAATGAATGTTCTTAAAAAAAAACGAATTCTAACCTCTAAATGAGGAATAAGGTTGGTGTCAAACACTAAAACAAGAAAACCAAGTTTTCTAGTAATTGACATTGATGTCAACTACTAGTGTTATGCACAGACTCTTGATTTTAATACGTTTTCTAATGCATTTTTTCATTATTTAAAAAAAAATACTCCTCTATCAATAATATTGCACCAAGTCCAGTGGATCTAGTAGTTGACACTAATGTCATCTACTAGAATTTTAGGATGTCATCTACTGAAACATAAAATTTTAGATTAAGTATGCCTATAAAGGGACAAATGTTCAGGTACAGTAAAGAGGATATGGAGAAGGCGATTCAAGAAGTTCTGCAGAAGAACAAGATGCAACAAATTTAATATCTGAAGATGAAGAGGTCAATAATAATTCCGCCCTGGATAATTTAATACAAGACTTAAGCACTGAAATAAATTCCCAACCAATACCCATATCTGAAGCAGAAACTTTCAACAAGATATTTGTGCAAGTAGATGTACATAAATGGGCGATTTATGAGCCCCATGTAACACCAACAAAGAATAATAAAAATACTTACCAGTCGCCAAAATCTCCTCAAGAATCCGATGTTGATTCGGCAAAAACAAGTCTACCAGGCCACTCTGTCACAAGTGTGAGAACCTCTGATCCACCTGGTTTTGACTTAATAAAGATGCACTCATCACCTGAAGAAATTGTGCCCTCCCCTTTCAAGCGTGTGCTTTTCTGGCCTGAACCTAAGCCCGCGAACTCAAAAAACAAAAAGTAGAGAAGATACCAGCAGTTGTTACATCAAAAGAATGGCAAAGCTACCATGAAAATAAAGAGAATAAAAAGCTACTTTTACTAGAGGAAAAAAAGAAAAGAGCTGAAGAGAGGCAGAAGAAAAAACAAAAGAATGATATTTTAAAAAAAGAAAAGCTGGAGCAACGCAAAAAACAGAAGACTATTGAGAAGAAACAAAAGACATCAACGAGGAAAGGAAAATATTCCTCAACTACTGATGATGAGTCATGGGTTGAATCTGGAAGTAGTATAGATGACTTATCTTTTGAAGAAGAGAATGATGAAGAGCCTGAGGAGAAAAGAGTAAATGATTATAAAGAAGGTAATTGTATAATAGTCAAATTCCCCGGCAGTATAAAGGATTATAAATATGTATGCATTATACAAAAAGTCTTTGAAAATAGCGAAGTTGAAGTTCTTGGTATGAATTGTTGTGACGAAAAGAAAACTATTTTCAAACCAAACCATAAAATTATTATTGCTGGAGAGAGACTTAAATACCAATTTCTGACACCCATTGAAGTTGATGGTTGAAAATAATAGTCCCTCTAAACATGTTTATATTTAGTTTTTTGTATGTCGTGTATAAAAATTCTTTCTAATTAGCATAAAATATTTGTTTCATTTTCATGTCAACTACTAATACTTATTATATGTCAACTACTAGATTTTTTAATTTTTTGAGTGTCAAGTACTAACAAAAATTTAAGATTTAAAAAAAAAATCTTAAAAAAAAAACTGTATTTCTAATTTTAAAATACCTCATTTTATCTCATTGACAAGGAAATAAAGTACAGAACTATACTACATTATTTAAAAAAATAAAATAAAATATTGGTATAAAAGCAAAAAACCTTTTTTTCCTTTATTATAATGTCAACTACTAGAGCGTTTAAAATTATGTTAACGAGTGTAATTTAAATTTAATTTATTCAAAATATGGCAGCGCTATATGTCAAACTTATCACTATAACCTTAGAAGTCTATATCACGACTTATCACTATAACCTTCTATAACCAAATATTTTTATGTTTAGGGTGATAAATATTTGTTTATTTTGTTAATGGTAGGAATAATTAATAAACTAATTAATTAATCAGTAAAAGCATAATTAATAAATTTGAAAAATCATAGTTCCTGTTGATAAAAAACCGTTTCAAGACAAATGTTTGATTAGCAAGCAGTCATAGGCCACATAAAAAGTGCGGGCCATTAAAAAAGGATTTCGGCAACAAAGAACACAAGTTTGTCAAATTTTCATTAAAAAAAAGAACCAAATGGAAAATACTACTCTCTAAAAATGAATTACTTAAAAATTGTCATAGCGAAAAAGCAGCCACTAATAATTCTAGTCAAGAGCAATTTATATCCCGGATATTTAGCAGTCAATTCCTATGTAAAATTGTCTGCTGAATCCGAATATGTCGTCAAAAGTTATAAAAGTAGGACAATTTTTAAGATTTATTCAATTTTCCATATAATATGGAATTGACTATATCTCAAAAACTGCATGGAAACATATACGATAATGGGCGTTTTAAAGGTGGGAGTAGAAAAAATAGTAGACATTCCCTGAAATATATACAATCGAAAAATCAAGATTAAAATTATTACAAATTGATAAAAAATAACATACTCTAAAAAATTAACTTAATGTCGTGAATTCGTAAAAAATAATTTTGACACTATAGGCTAAATATAAGTTAATCCTTAAAATAATAGTAAAATTAAAAAAGTAAAACAACACAAAAACAGGTTTTTTGTTAATATAGATTTTGAATAACATGGGTGTTTGCCTTTTATACGGGGGACATTTAAAAGAAGCAATCGCTGTGCTGGAATCTGCAATTTCGTCGAACCCTGTCCACGCTTTGCACGAGTCGCTACTGCTTAACCTGTGTACCCTCTACGACATGGAATCGTCGCGAGGTAGAATGAAAAAATGGGCCCTACTACGTCAGATATCCAGGTATCAAGCGGACGCTCCTACCTCTATCTTGGAAAAGCTTTACGGATAGGTCAATTTTAGTATATTTCATTAATCCACAAGATAGGCTTTTCCTGTGTAAGTACGAGAAAAGGGTTAAAGAAAATATATTGGATATTATACCTCTTTGAAAACAATTATAAATATTGCAATTAAAAAGGAAATGTTTTAGTTTAATTTGACATTTCAAACGTTACGTTAGGAGTGCAACATTGTTGCTTCTCCTAACAGATGTCACTATTATTCTAAATTTTATAAATGCGAATTTTACATTCACACTGCACTGTTTACAATTAAATTCCCAATGTTGTTAATTAAACAATGTTTTACAATAAATAAAATTTATAATACTACAGATTTTCATTGAGGTATAATAAATAAATTTTTAGGTCTGTTCATAATATATAGGATATATTATATCCTATCCATAATTAAAAGGTCCACTAATGGATATTAGTATAGCATCTACAAACAGCCCTTTAGTTATTTTTTTGTACAATCAAAATGTTATTTATTATTTATAGGGAGCAAGTCAAAATAGGTTTCTCAGTTGGAAAACTGCATGCATGTGGATAGAAAAATATTAAAAAATTTGCCATTTTTGAAACATTTCCAACAAAATGTCAATTGTCAAAATAAATGTGGTACATTATTTCTTGACATTAGTCTAATAGAGGATGGCTCCAAAAATTACACTTTTGGAAGAGGTTTGTTTTCTAATAACAATAATTTGAAAAGTTTATTTTGATCTACTCCATACACTGGTTTTAAGCACTCATGTCTGTGATTTTTACACACGTGTTATGTGTATGTTTATGTAACCAAAACTAGATTCAATTCAAAAGTTTAACAAAAAAGTTCTTTAACTGGTACCGCCAAACCATTTTAATTTTCTTATTATTATTATTAAGAAAAGGCAACAGGGAAATTTGCGTGGGCAATTTTTAGTTTGAAATTAAACCATTTATATTTAAAATTAAACCATTTTCGGTTATTTAGTATTACAAAAAAAATAATGAAAAATAAACTAAGATATTTTAATTATTTTTAAAATTTATCTTTCATTTGCATTGTATATTTCCAAAAATTTAAATACGCCCAACTGCACAGGAAGCACTTTAAACCATTTTAACCACGTTTATCATGAGAACAAAGAGAGAGAGAATAAATTGATGTCTTTAAATATATTGTTCAGACCCTCACAAAAATCAACGTCAAAAATATAGATTCTAACCAATACTATGTTCTGTGACCAAGACCAACCACCTCTACCACCACCCTACCTACACTTGAGTATATGTGAACATTTTTTAAGAATAAAACTGAAAAACCTAAAATTGCTTTTTTCATAAAAAATCAGACCAAAGGTTGGATAGATAGATTCCATGTCCATCTCTCTCACCTCTTGGTATTTTGATGAAAAAGACAATTTTTGGTTGTGTTAGTTACCTGCAACTAATATTTGCGTCTACGGAAGGACGGTCACAGAGAGTTCATGGTTGCCACATGATAATACTAAAGTTTTAAAGATTCCACGCGCGCCAAATTTAGAGCGCTTGCGTAGCATGCGAAAGGTATCTGGATAGATAACCGTTATGTTATGTTATGTAAACATTATATTAAAAATGTGGCAACAATGGCTGTCCTTCCCTAGACGTAAGTACAACTTATTACTCAAAATATTGCTCAACACTTTATTGTTGGAATGCAAGTGATTTCGTAAATTTTTAGTAAAAAGAAAAAATAGCTTTATGTGCTAAAAACAGTATTTAATAGTAAACAGTAAACGCACGTTAATTTATTTAATTGTTAAAATTGTTGTTTTTGAGATATTTCAGAATTTTATATGTAGGTATGTTGTGTATTATGTAAAAAAAATATGGTTGTGTTATTCTTTTATTGTGATGAATGAAAATATTTTAATAAAATTATATAAAAAACTATTTTTAAAGGTTGTGGTAAATTTTTTACAATTTTAAATGTTTAGGACTGGGCCGGATATTTTTACTAAAAAACATATTTTGGGTAATTGATTATTTTATTTTAATGATTCTTAAACCTAAAATTTTACATAAATTTTTATACAAAGAGCTATAGTATAAATTTATAGATGATGACTAGTTACATACAATAAAATAGGAATAATTTTTATTAAAATTTGCCGCCATACACGGTGTCCAAAGTTATCTGCTCACCATTGCTCCGTTATTATTGGATCTACAAAGTTAAATTAGCAAAAAAAATGTCATTTTTTCTTCTGATTGAAATGATGAAATCAGGAAAACAATTGAACGTCCTTTGTAGCTCCAATAGTAACTTAGTTTAACTAATAGCAATGGTGAACTTTGGACACAGTGTATATTACAAGCAAAATAACGAAAAAAAATAATTGGCACAATTTTTTCTCAAATTTGATTGATTGATTCTGAATGAGAAATGGTACTTTTTGGAAAAGGCACATTTACAAACAGGTAGGTAAACAATATTTTACAGATCTATGTTTAACTTGTTTAGAAAAGGGTTGTTAAATTTTTAATGCAGGGGAGATGTGGGACCTAGGTAAGTCTGGGACAGTGTACAAATCAGAATAACGTTTAAATATGTAACTCTTGGCCAGTGGCGGCTGGTGGATTTTGCATATGTCATATCTCAGTTATTAGACATGGGACCCACAACAAATTTTGTTATAACACTAAATTAACAAGTTCTGTGCAGCACCCCTGAAGGCTGGCCCCCCTAATAAAGATAATACATATTTTAGTCGTGCAATTTATAATTAAGAGTTAGTTAAGAGAAGAGACAAGGGAAGCATCTTAGATAATTAATCCTGAGCTTGGTCCCAACTCTGCCAGAAAACCATAAAAAAGCCTGATTTTAACTGACTCCGGAGAAAAACAAAATCAAACAAGCAAAAAATCATTAAGACAAGTCAAGTAAACGGCTATGGCTACCAAATCCTATGATGTTCACTATATTGGTCAATTAACTGTTGATATTATGTTTATTTTGCAATATAAAAAACTGCTATGGTTTTTTGCGAAAGTTGCATTTATTTTTAATTACCTAAAGTACCTAAATGTACTTACCCCCTAAATTTAAACGTTTTTCTGTAAATGTACCTGCGGTTAGTTGAATTTCTTTAATAAAGGGAAAATTTGAATGCGTCTATTAATTTTGTAACAGTCCCATGTTTGCAAACATACCCAAATATACCCATATCTGAGTATGTTTGGGACACCTATTCGGTTTTTTTTATTTTTCTACAAATAGTTTTCTGGAAGTTAAAATGGTTTAATGTTACCCTAGTATAATTTATACTGTAAAATATTTTACCCTAAAATGAGTTTCTAGTGAAAAGTTTTCCTAACATACCACATCTACCTTTTTTTTACATTGAAACAGTTTTGCCAAATCAACATTTAATTATTTTTATAAACAAGAAGGCAAATTTTGGCGTTTCTTTACATAACAGAATCTTGATACTAAGAATATCTGAATAATGCAATTAAAATTCAGATTAAATCAAAATGTTCATTATGTTAAAAAATGTAAGTACCCCATTATTTAGTTAAGAATTACGGTACATACGCACATACTCTTATCAAGACAAATATTTTTTGGTAGAACATTTAATATGGACCCTTATGTTTTTGTCATCGTGCAATGTATCACAAGTGCAACATTTATAATAAATAAATCACTATATGTTTCATACAGGGTGTGTTAGCACAATAAAACAAAATGTACAATTGAAAATTTTTAAAATGTCAAAAATTGGAGATTTGTGTCTTATTTTATGATATAAATATACACCCTGCATAACAATACCCATACTTCCTTTAAGTAGATACTATTACACATCAAATTTCATTTTTGTACAGGGGAATTAAAAATAAAAATAAGAACAACTATATACTATAGATAACAGGTCCGTGCGCAAGGGGGGGTTTTGGGGATTATCTCGAACGGTTGTATAGATGACGAAAAAGAGGTTTTCGTTAGATTTGCTTCTTGAACTTTTTGACCATATCTTTTGAATGAATGAGTTAAACAGCCTTGGAGATGGCTTAAAATTTGCAATATTTTATTTTTGAACAATAAACCCAAGCGATTTTATCAATTTTATTAAAAAACAGAAAATTGGCTAATAGTTTCTGGGTACCCTGAAAAAATATCCCAGCTGTTGCATTTTTTTAATTTAGTGCTATTATTTTATTTTTTACAATTTAATAATTTAACCCCCCTATGAGAAAATCCTGCGCACGACCATGATATAAAATACATGCAGAAGCACAATACAAATAACTTACAAAGAGTTGGGAGATGAGGAGGCGAGTTCCCGTCTACTTCCTCTTTTGTCTAAGCTAATAATATGGAATTTATTTAAAGCTTACAATGTTAAAAATTAATGAACCAAGCTTACCTTTGCAAAAACTTTTATGTTCAGTCTTAATTTTTGGTAATTGTTTATGTATTGCTTGGTTAAATGAAGTAATTGAAAATTATTTACGTATAGATATAAAATGTGGAAAATTTCATTATGAAATATGTGATGATTGACTGATTCTGTCCTAAAAGGGAAATTTGAGTGCAAATGTGCACAAACTAGTTTATGTAGGAAAATTTTTGTACTAAAAATATCCACAATGTAAATAAAAACAAAAACAATTTTATATGCAAGCAATTAATATGGTTTTACACATAAATTTATAGATATAACATCAACTTTACACAGGGAAAAGTAGGGCAGGGTTCAGGTTTTGATTAATTATTTTTTAATACGACGTCAATTAGCCAACTCCCATTAGCAAGTAATCAAATTAAAAAATTGTCATTGACAATTCTTCGACAACAAAGACCTAAGTTAAATTGTCAAGATTGCCATGAAAATGACCTCATGTGGAAAGTTACGCTTTGTGACGTCATCTAAAACCAAGCCGACTTATAGGAATGAGACGAGTTATAATAATTGCATACGTACTACGTTATAAAAATCAGTTGGTTGGTACTTTGGTCTTGCGCAGAGCGGACTTGTTAAAATTACAGATGGCGCCCAGCAGGGCCGTTCTCTCCTTGCCCACTCCATTGGCAGGGGGCGGCGATGTAGCCGCCGCCGCCGCCGCCATTGTCGGTGGGGGTGGTGGTGGAGGTGCAGCCACAGGAGCTGCAGTCGTGTTATTGGCGGTCGTGGTTGCGGGCACGCTCGACGCGGACGGTGGCGTGCTCGTGCCTACCGACGTTGCCGCGCTGCTGTTCACGCTGTCGGATCGCTCGCCGCCGTTTGTTTTCTCCATGGATTCTTGGCGGTGCTCTTTCATGCTGCGTTGCCGTTCTTTGGCTATATGTCGTTCCTGTTTCTATAACCAAACAAAATTGTAAAATTATTAATTTTCTCTATTATAAAGGCACAACAGCCCGGTAATGGAACGAAAGAAAAACGAGATCAACATGGTCACGGATCTTCAAAAAAAAACCTCGAGAAAAATGTCGATGTTCGTATCTCGTTTTTTCTTACTTGTAGTACTTTTTTAGAAATACTCAAACCCTATTTGAAAAAAAAAATTATAAAATAGCGAATTCCCAAGTAGCACAACTGGTTAAATAAAGTAAATAATAAATAAGTAAATTAACCAAAATCTAAGTTTTTAAACTTGTTTTTTAACCAATTAGTTGTATTCAACCATTAACATTTTTTAAGGTTACTATGAACTAAAAAATAACCCTTTAAATTTACCAACCTTCAATGGTTATTTTTTAGTATAATAATAATGTTTATTTGATCAAGTTACATACAATGTTTTTGACAAGTCTCAAAATATTACATTAGTTCAGGAAACAAAGATTGTAGAAGGAAAACTCGATGGTAGTCGGTTTTTTTATGTAGTCAGAGGTGCTGATAATGAATCAAGAATAATCCCCAAAAATTTTTTTCCGCGTCCCCCATTTTCATCCCCCGAAAGGGGAGTTTTTTTGCTTTTTGGCTCATAACTCGATAACTACATTGAAAAGCAGTATTTTTTGAAAAAGTTGAAAAAGTATAGTCTGAAACTCATTTAGAATTGCATATTCCGTTCTCGTGAAACCGTCAACCTCGCCTTCGGCTCGTAAGGCAAACTTTTCAATCGAGCGGAATGTTCCAAACTTGTTATAGAATATACTATTAAGAACTAAACGAATGTCGAAAATCGCGAAAAAGGAACCAACAAATCGAAATCGAAATTTTTCTTCAACTGTATACCTCCACTTCTACTGCTGCACCGACAAACAGAAATTTTAAAAATAATTTAACCCCCAGAATTGCACTTGTTAGAATTTGTGTATACTATTTACTATTTATTCTTTTTCTATGCTATTTACAATGCTATGTACAAAGAGTTTCCCGATATAAGCATGCAATGGACGTACGTTTAATGGTGATTCATGCCAATTGCTACTCTTGTTGCATCCTCTGCCCACTACAGTGCTTAAAATATGTTATGTTTTCGTGTCAAGTAGGACAATCATTTTTAAATGACTAGAAGAGTTTCGAAAAGATTACCTAGCTGGATTTAGAGATAAATGTTCCTAAATTCACGCAATTTTCTATCATGTACAAGAATTTTTCAGTCTCAAAAAAAGCGGTTTGGGGTTAATTCATCAAATAGGCGTCGGAATCAGTTCATGCCGACTTTAAAAAGGTCTGGGAGCGATGTAAGGTACCCAAATTTCGGGTCCCGAAACACACCCAGACTCTACTTCTAATTTTCTTGAAGCAGCTAGGTTTTATAACGGAATACATTTTTAATAAATAATTGTGGTTCACAGTTGTTCAGAATTCAAGTATATTCATTGCATTGAAGATCTAGAACAAACATATTTTTCCAATTAAATTATAGTCCGGTCAATCTAGACATTCGAAGGTACATAAATTTACAACAAGCTGAAAATCAGTAAAATTGTTCAGAATATAATTATAAATAAAATTTTAAAGTTCCCCATAATTCCCCTGTATGGAAAATTTTTTATTCAAGGTCAAAGGCGATTTTCGGCAAAACGGTAAATTTTATCATAAAATACCCAAGACAAATATTGTAGATCATAAAATTATCTATAAAAAATGTATCAATACTTTTTTTTCTACGAGCCACCGTTTCTGAGATATAACGATTCGAAAAGTTGTAAAAGTTATAATCGTCATAATATGCACACGTTTCCACGCCACCTATTAGGTAGTGTACTTGGCGCGTTTTTTAACGTGGTTTCCCCAGTAGCCTATTCCACGGGTCAGTTGTGATCCTGTTTAATTTGAAACTATTGCAAAATAACGGAAATTAGCAATGATTGGAAAAGATAAAAGCGATGTAAATTAAAAAAAAGTACTGAAGTTAATTAGTCTGATTCGTAACATTTAAATTCTTCTTCTTATTCTTCTACTTGTTCTTGTTCTTCTTTTTCTTGTTCTTCTTCTTATTCATCTTCATCCTGGGTACAAGTAAATTGCGTCAGTAGCGATGTATCGCTCGTTGGAATTAAATGAATCCTCCACTGTTGGTGATTCAACATTAGAGCACGACCGGCCTTGACAATTCGTACATACCAGAGAATAAAACAGTATGACTTTTTTGCAACCACATTTAGCACTGCATCCCTTTTTGCAGTTGCAAAAAATTGTGTTCAGCATTTTTTCCGGCGCAGTCTGTAGGGTCTAGCTGATAACCAAGCCACACTTAAACTTGGTAAATTACCAATGGTAATATACCAATGGTAATATACCCGAAAAATATTTTGATGAGCAGCAACTGAGGTTGGAGGAAGACAAGCTAATTGAACTTGTTTTTTATTTTAGTATTTTTAACGAAACATGCATATCGATACTTATCAAAGCAGGTAGTTTTTTTAGGAGCTCCGTATATAGAAAGAAGAAATCGAATGCCGTTGGTGATAACTTCTTGTCCCGAAGCACCTTTTCCTCGAGTTTGGCCGAAAAATCTCCGCTCATTCGTTGTTAAGTTAAGTGAAGACAACGGAACGTGCCAAATTTGAAGGAAAAATCGAAAAAAAGTGGACCGGAAAAATTTGGTCCGCGGATAGGTCTCGTGGGCAGAAAAAAGGATGCAAATTTCGAGTGTCCGCCTTCAACGGCCTCCGAGCTACGGCGCTTAGAAAAAAAAGGATATACAGACTAGCAGACAACGGAAAAAATAAATATTGCAAACGGGCCGGATCCGCCGGAAACTTTTCGATCTTTTTTTATTTTTTTCGAAAAAATTTTAAACGTTTTTTGGGGCGAGAGAAATTTTCGAAATTGGCCGAACGAAATACACGAATCGACGGGTAAAAGACCAAAGTTTGACATACTAAAAGATGAGCTTCATCGAATGAAAACTAATCGGCCAGAAGCCCGTTTAATTTTTGTTGTGTATTTAAAAAAGTTAACCAATTAAAATCCCCGAAATCAAATCGATAAGGTGGCAAATGACAGGTGGCATTTGACAGGGTCAAATGACAGGTGACAGATGACAGGTGACATATGTCAAGTTGACAGATGACAGATCATCTGTCATCTGTCACAGATGTTGTCTCGATGGCGTATAAATTAATTAATTATATTTCATTTGATATTCTTATAGTTATAACTTATGTAGGTATATTTTATATTTTAAGTGTAAGTGAAAATGACCGATAGAAAAATATATTAACATATATTAAAACTCTAGAGATGTATATACGTGACGTACTCATGTATATTATGACGATTACAACTTTTACAACTTTTCGAATCGTTATATCTCAGAAACGGTGACTCTTAGGAAAAAAAGTATCGATATATTTTTTATAGACAATTTTATGATCTACAATTTTTGTCAAAAATATTTTTGTGATAAAACTTCCCGTTTTGCTGAAAATCGCGAAAAACTAATTTTTTTGACCTTTGACCTTGAATAAAATTTTTTCCATACAGGGAAATGATGGGGAACTTTAAAATTTTATTTATAATTATATTCTGAACAATTTTACTGATTTTCAGCCTGTTTTAAATTTATGTACCTTCACTGTTATTTTTTGGTCTAATTTGACTGGACTATTAATAAATATTACGTTTTGTCAACTCTTCAGATATAAATCTCACTAACCTATTTTATAAAATGCCTTACAATTATCCTAATTTTTTTTCAAATAAGGTCTCATTATTTTTAAAAAGCACTATAAGCGAGAAAAAATGAAAAATAAGCATGAACATTTTTTTTATATTTTTGTGAGGTATTTGGTTTTAATTTAGGGGCTTAGATTTAACTTTGATTTTTTAAGTTAAATTGATAAAATGTAAATAAATTACTTTAAGTACTTTGAAAACAAAGTAAATTAAAAAGTGCTTTTATATTTTGTTACGTGCATAAAACAAATATGGTAAATTAATATTATCATTTAAAAAAATTCGACGAATGTTGTTTTAGATAACCATCAAGTCAATTTAAATTATAACGTTAAATTTGCCAACTTTGCTGTTCGCGTATATTTATTAAATATAATTACAAAAAATGGCTTTTTAGACTAAAAACCTGATCATACAAATATCTAATTATTACCAATTTATTACGCTGCTTTTTTTTCTCCTCCTCCGAGCTCATCATCTCCTGTACCTTAACCAACCTCTTTTGACTCCTCACCATCTTCTGCTCATCCGTCAACCGATCCTCAATCAGCTTAATCGCGTGCTTTAACCTCTCCTTAGTACTGCTACCGATTTTCAAATGACACTTCTGCGACGCAGCGGTGGCTTGCTGCGCACTTGTCTGCCCAGTACACTTAAAAAACTCGTGATTTAACAGCTGCTCGATAGAGGGCAGCCCTTGTTTCAAAGCCTCCGCTGATAGGATCGAGTCTAAAAGTCTTTTTAGAGGTTCGCAGGCTTCGTTGAAGGCGGATTGTTCTGCGGTGCTTTCATGTAGAGGGGCTCCGAACGACATTTCGTAAATTGTGTGGCCGAAACAGTAAACGTCTATGGCTTCCATGGTGTTTATTTTGCGGTGTTGCATGAAATATGGGCGGTAGAACGATGGTACGCCGAGTACGCCGTTTTCTATGTCTGTTAGGCGTATGCGTAAGTTATTTTCTTCGATAAAAACGTTTCCAGTGTGTAAATGGCCGTAAGGTAAGCCTTTTTCGTGTAGAAACTTTAGAGCTTCTAGTATTTGGCGGCCGTATAACTTAACCAACTCAACCCCGAGAGGTTTATGACCTTTGGGGTTTCCGTATTTCTTCAAAAAGGATTGTTGCGGTTTGCTTTGACACAAGGCATCCCTAACACTCCCCCCCTTTAAACTCTTACGTATCGCTAACCCACCCACGTCAGTACACAGACACAGTTCGATCGGTTGAATGTACGGATGTTGCAGTTGAGACAAACATTTAAAAACCGCGTGCATGTCCTTGTCGTCCAAGTGCTTGTCGGGGCCATAGTCGGTCCAGCCGCCTAAAAATTCGACTTTCGGCATGGATTTCAGGCGCACTTGGTAGTAGTGTTTGCGCAGGCGCCATCCGATCTCGGTGAGTGGTCCCGATACTTCCCAGCCAACTTCGCCGCGCAGGGCCAAGGATACATGCTGCAATGCCAACTCTGTAAAAAATATTGTTGTATGCTTTTTAGTAAACAAGGTTTTTAAAGTCGGTTTCATATAGATGCGAAATGCAAATTGCGAAATATGAATACTCTCATTTCGCAACTCCCATTAATATAGATGCTAACTATTTCAGGGACATTGTTTTCTCACTAGGCGATATTTGCCATGCTATTTTAGGTACTTAAATAGTAAAGTTAGTTCTAATGACTATAAACGTAAAATAAGTAACATTAATGTACCACGAAAACTCTTTGTCCATTATAAAAAACAAAAAAACTCTAAACACTTATTTAAACAGTTTGAATAAAACTCTACTTCCGACGAAAGGAAAAGCCGCATCGATATACTACCCTACAACGCTAAAATGCAATAGGTATCTCCAATTTAAGTAATAAAGTTATGTTTACATAAAACAATAAAAATGATCTTCTGCCCTTTTAATAATTATTAACTAAATTGAATATACTGCATTTTAGCGCTGTAGGGCAGTATAGGTCGGCCGCCGTTTGATATGTTCGGAAAGTGTTTTTTGTCGGTTTGGATTTTGTCCGTTAGATTTTTTATTTTTTCAGTAGATTCAGTGGAAAAGTTAGATGTTTTGTTTTTTTTTAAGACTTTGAAACAATCATTGTGTGATTAAAACATTATTAAAATTTTTGATAAAAGTTACCTAAGTAATGTAAATGCGTCTTAGGATAAATTTAAAAATGAAAATAATGGGCAATACCCCTTTTATTCCTATAAAGTTGTCGCGGCGAATGATTTAGATTGCGTCATCAAATTCTGAACCAAGCACAGACATTACAATTATTGTTGTTTTCTTTTACGTATATAATCCAAGAAACCGCTAGGTTAGGGAATATCTCTTGGATCTAAGACGTGAGTCCGATGCCATGCTCAAACAAGGACAGAGCGCATTAGTTTGTTGTTGGAGAGTTAGGTTTTGGTTCTTTGTTTGTGACGTGCTCAGCGGCGTTCCTCATTTACATTTAATATTTGTTCCTGACATTGACATTTATATATTTTTATAATTTTTAATGTGTTTTGCATCAAATAAGGTAGGTATAAAAACACTACTAGTACTGTTTTTGAATAAAAAAAAAATATTTTTAAGGAATTAAACATACAACCACGATACCCCCTTTTGCCAATAAAAACCTTGTTAAACAGCTTTTGTTTAGAACTAGGTATTTATATTAAAATTTTACATTAGTAATATAATAGAACAATATTATTTTGTAAATAAAAATTTGCAACTGTCCCATCCGTTACGCGTGGAATGGCCGATTTGTATTTCATTCAGTGAGTATATACAATAAATCAGATGCTTTTATAGTGTTTTTTTATAGATTGACGTATATTATAGTATATTATAGTATGTCAATCTATAAAAAAACACTATAAAAGCATCTGATTTATTGTAAATAATTGCAAAGATTTATTTATTTTAAATAGTACCTAAATGGTTGTAATATACTAATTTTAAGAATAAAATAAATTTAGGATGGACTCAGAAGAGAAAGAAGGTATTAAACTTCCCTCCTGCATCGGTTTCGGCACTAAAAAAACAACCATGTATTTAAAAAATCTCAAATTTTGATGCACAGATTATAAAGGTGATGTCCATTACATTTAATAACATAATTATATTATATTATGATGCTACTTAATAATATTGGTACATATGTTTTAATAGTGACTATTATTCAGTTTGGAAGTAATTTCCTACGTACTTCTGTTATTAAATGTAATGGACATCAAAATTTGAGATTTTTTTAATACATGGTTGTTTTTTTAGTGCCGAAACCGATGCAGGAGGGAAGTTTAATACCTTCTTTCACTTCTGAGTCCATCCTAAATTTATTTTATTAAAATTAGTATATTACAACCACTTACTATTTAAATAGATAAAGCCGGTCCTGTAGTATAAAACGTAATAAAATATGGAATACGGCCCTAATTGGCAGGCGTTTATGACGTTCGTGTTGCTTAAGTGGTCGCCCTTCTTATATTCTTTTTCTATGGTAAATAGGATTATTATTATTATTATTATCATATAGGTTATTTGACATTTTGGTATTCTACGGTCCCAAATCTAGGGACCCTATAGTATTATTCATGTAAACGCCATCTATCGCCCTGTAGTTGCACTACCCCTTTCACTTGATGCAATGATTTTAGCATCACATTGACAACCGTTCCCGATCAGCTGATTGATGACGTGTACGTCGTTTCCTTTTAAATTTACTAAAGTCATCGCCACGAATGTTTCAAATTGCGTCATCAATGTCGAATGTCAAAAACCGATTTCTCGACATACGGATAACCTAGCGGTTCCTTGGATTATAATATAATCGTTTACGTTTACGTATATAATCATTATATACGTAAACGAAAACAACAATAATTGTAATGTCTGGGCTTGGTTCATAATTTGATGACGCAATTTGAAACATTCGCCGCGACAACTATGTATATGTTATTGATAACATAATGTTAACCATAGATAACAAAGCCTATCTGTTATGAACAAAAATAACATAATGTCAGTCAGGTGTTTGGCATAATATTATGTAAACAAAATGTTTTTGACATTATTAATATTAGCAAACAGATAAAATTATATTATTTTAACAGACAGAGAACTGAGAATAACACCATTAATTTCATTTTTTTAAATAGGTACCTAGTTAAAACAAGTTACCTTAATTTGGTGTAAATTTAATATTTGTAGAAATAGTTTTTAAAAGTAGTAAAAATAATAAAACAAAAATTAAAGAAAATTATTTCTAAATAAAATTAAACATATTTCATAAAAATTGGTTCCAATTTAATTGGTGTTAATTTAATATTTGTAGAAATAGTTTTTAAAAATAGTAAAAATTTTGACAAAAATAAAAGAAAATTAGTTTAAATGTTTCCTAAAAATTGTTGTCAATTTAAAATTTGTAGAAGTTTTTGTTTAATTTGTACTCATTTATTGATTGCAGATAAATCTTGTAGATAAAAAATTGGTTTGTTTTTAATAAATATTAACATATTTTTTATAATGAACAAATTAAACTTACCCCCAAAAGGTTGACAATAATTTGCAGGATCTACAAAAGATCTTGCAGGAAGTGACGACACTAATATGGGATTCATCAGGACTGCATTCAAATATTTCTACAACAAAAATTAATTGTTATTATTATTGAAATATTCAAAATACCAGACAAAGATTAACAAATTAGTACATTAATATAATATCAATTTTAATTAAAGATTTCATCATTTTATGTAGCATATTTGGATAAAATGTCAAAGGTAAAGGTTTTATTAAAATTATTTATGTTATATTTTGTAATTAAAAACTCTAATGAATTGTTAAAAATGTGTATAAATAATTATAAAATATAAATAAGTAACACTTAACAAATAATTTAAAACAAGTAAAATAAGCCCGAATACACTAAAAACAACCATATATAAGTATAACAAACATATTAGCATTTGAAGTGGTTTTTTATTAAGTTAATAGTTTATTATACATATTAACTCCTTTATACAAAATAGATGATTTTTCAAATCTAAAGGACACAATCTAATAAATTGTTGTTACAAGTTTCTTAAACATTTATGTTATTTCTTACAGTAAGAGTTAAATTGGAGTATTTTTTTAATTTAAATTATTATGAACCAAATATCCGGGGATTAATATAGACAGCAAACTAAATTTTAACTCAATCTGTGACATAATGAAAACCAAAATAGTTAACACAGCATCCCAAAATAGAGGCATAGATAAACTTACAAAAAAAAATAACAGGGCTCCCACGGTTAAATTACAAATTTTATTTAGGAATTTAGGAGGTTTTTTGGAGAATTTTAGGAGAATTTTAGGAGAAAAAAGTATGCAAATGAATTTATTTAATTAAATAAAAACAACTTTACACTATACTTAAAAAATAAGAAAAAAATTCTTTTTAACAAAAATATAAATAAATATCACTACAAATAGGTTATATTGACTAGTTTTTTAGCCAAATCGCTCGACGAGTTTTTTTATAATAAAATGAAAAGTGAGGTAAAATTACTACTTTTGTATATGTCTACAAGTAAAAATTTCACCCCACTTTTAATTTTATTTAAAAAAAAGCGTCGATAGATATGGCTAAAAAAGTAGGCCAAAGTTTAATGATGTTATATTTATATTTTGAAGAAAAAAAATTAACAGTTTAGTTAATAACTAACAATAATCGTAATGTAAACGTAAAAAATCTCATAACAGAAAAAATATAGTGCATGATTACAGCAAAACATTCTTTAGAGATAGACTATTTTAGCTATCATTTAAAAGAAAATTAAAAATCCTTTTGTTTGATATATAACACGGTATATTTTTGTTGACAATTTACGAAATATGGCTAAAAATGACAATTTTGTAGAAGTCTAGAAGCTACTACGTGGATTTTGTTTTATGGTATATTTTGTTGTTTTTTAAGAAAAATGTAGGTTGTGATACCTATATAATTTTAAAAAGAATTTAATAAACTAGAACCCAAAAATATATAAGAAAAAATTGAACCTACACCTAGCCAAAGTTTTTTGTTTTGAATGCGTTCCACCAACTTCAAATACCGACAGACAGCTGTTTCGACCTTTATTGGGTCTCATCAGTGTCGGGCAACTTGGTGTAGTGGAACACAATCAAAACAAATTACTCCCTGAGCTTAAGTAAACAGAGGCGAGATGTAAGAACATCAGGTGATCCACACCGTCAAACGAAGTGGCCTTTGCCGCAATCAATTTTTTCTTGTGAATATTACCAGTGATGGGTCAAGAAAGTTTCTTAAAGAAACTAAGAAAATTGAATGTTTACCAAAAATATATATTTTTTAAATTACTTTTTAAAAAAGAAATTTTTTAGCACAACTACCTTAATTAAACCGAGTCAAGTTGGCCTACTTATATTTAATTTTTAGGAGTTTTAGGAGATTGATGGCAATTTTAGGAGAATTTTAGGAGTTTTTAAGATTTAAGCCAAATTTTAGGAATTTTATGAATTTTAGGAGGTGTGGGAGCCCTGAAATAATATGTTGCCCCAGCCTGGAATATGGTAGTGTCTTATTCATGAACAGTACCAAAACCTGCCTTTGAAAACTGAAAGTTTCATAAACAACAGCTATAACCCCCTCCATAACCCACCAAACACCCTCCTTTATTAGATTATTAATATTTCCAATAACCTCACATGCACACAAGAAGTCTCTCAAAGATTTAAAGAATCAGAATAAAACACATAGAAACAATGTAAATAAAACTGGGAGGTGAACACAAAGAAAGAGCAAGAACCCAAGCCTCACCTTGTAGAAAATATTGGTTGTTTGGGTGTAGAGGAATTTTTAACATTTAAAGTAAGTTTATGAGACTTCAGTCCCCAAATATCAGTCTTAAATCCTGTATAATGTCCAACTTTAAGAGATTGTAGGACTTGGAGAAGTACAAAATAGACACATCACCAGCAAACAGTCTAATGCTACCCCTTCCCGCTAAGGGGCCCTTAGCAGTAAACTGGTCAAGGAATTAATATGTTAAAAAAAGTGTATAGCCCAAAACTGATCCCTGAGGCACACTATAGTTTAGACCAATTCTGTAACTCATGGCAACAACAAATGCCATTGACCATAGATAACAAAGCCATTGACTGACACCTGTTCAGCAGCCAATTTCTCCACCAATATTTTGTGGTTCAGTGTTAAATGCTTTGCTTATCATTAAAAACGATTTATTTCAATAAATGTTAGTCCTTTTATTCAGTGTTCCCTACTTATTTACATTCTCTAAATATGAAATGTTGCCAGATGATACAAATCTTAACTATTATTTCCGCATGAGACCAAAAAAATTAAACAACTGAAATAACCAACCTGTAAACTTTGCTGTCTTTCACTAATAAAGTGCGGTTCCATATTCCCGATAAGCTTTTTCGGGGGAAACTCCAAGGGGATCCCTGAGGTTTGCAAATAGCTGTGCAACTTGTGGAAATCATTGTATCTCTTGCTAACGCGCCAAGTCTTATCCGAAAACGGACCACGGTGCACTCTCAACACAAACTCCTAAAAAGAACCCTTCGAAATTGATGTAATTGATCAATTAACCCATTTATTTACTCACCGTGTGTCCATTGACGTTTCGCCAATTTTCAATGACGCATGTTAGAGGCTCTGTGTCATCTAATAGAACCTTGTTGACTGTTTGTTGCTCAAAAATAGCCATTGAAGAGGAAACATTTGACCACTGTCGCGTATCAAATCCATTGAATTCGATATTAAGTCAGCGATCAACAAACGCTAAAAACCACCCAACATATTTCGTCAAACTGACAGTTTAAATGTCACCTTTGATCACTGTTGCCAACATTCAATATCGATCTAATGTTATCTTAGTTGCATATCATTGTTTTAATCAATGCGGCCAACTTGACAACTGTATTTACCAACTTTATGGGTATATACCCATAAAGTTTTTTCATTTTTGAAATTTAAATTCAAAGAACTGCTACAAGACCTCCCTATAAATACGATTTTTTGTTTGCAGAACGCCCATCTAAAAGTGAAAATGCTCGGTAGAAGCCCATAGAACCATATATAGGTATATGCAATGCATAGAACAAACCATGGAACCATGGAACAAACCAAGTCTATAAGATAATTCGCCTTTCGCATCTATACGAAAACGACTTAAGAAGATGAACAATATTGTACAATAGTATTGCAACAATACGTACGGGATTGTATATACAATCCCGTACGTTATTCTATAAACAGAACTACGGTTTTCGTATTGTTCATCTTTTACGGGGAAAAGGGAGGAAGACAATATAAATCAGGCTTTAATGAATCGTACATAGTAGAGACATAAGGATAATGGTACAAATACGAATAAAATCGTACGGTTAACAATAATAAAGTTGAATTTATAGAACTCTGTAAGATAAAAACAATTTCGATGTCTTGTTTGTGAACTGTATGGGTTAGTTCTGTGGAACTGTAGTAGATGGCGTTACTGTAAAATCCTTACATATACTTATTTGTTATATGTATACTTACCATATATCCTTTTTCTATGATATATCCTTTTTCTATGCTTACCACAGTAAGTATATAAATACTTATTTGATCAGAAATGTTTTGATTCTTTAATTAAAATCATGAAAGAAAACGAAAAAAAAGGCTGCTTTCAATGTAAAGTTATTTGTGTGGTATGTTTAACTGGTATTGGGGGTTATTTAATCAAAACTGCGCAACAACAAAATGGAAATGCTAAGATTTTGCTCACAGGATTAGGTTTAGGTAGTTAATAGAATTGTTTAACATTACTTTGTTAATAAGATTTGTTTCAGGATCAATATGTTTAGGTATTGGGGAAATATTTAATAAATCACCTTTTAGATAGATTATGTAACAAAATAAAACTACTTTTATTGTTAATAAAAAATTATTTTAATTATCCAGGTATATTTAACATTCCCAACCAGTTAGCCACTTTAATCTAGAATTCCTTCTTAATGTATCTCCATCCAACTTCTTTTTATCGTTAATAAATTGGTCTGTGATTTTCAATTTTTCCTCTTGAAATTGCAATTTTTGTACAACTTCTAATTCACCATTTTCCTTCAAATATGTTCCATTAGTATCTGTAGGAAAACCATTAGGAAATGTTATTGGTGTTATTTTAATAAGATGTTTTATTTTCCACAATCTTCCATTATTTTCTGGTATGTTTTTGATTACATTATAGGAGTTTTTCTACAAATAATTAGGGTTATTAACAAGGAACCTTTTAGGTTATAATTTGTATACCTTCCCATCTAACTTGAATTCTTTAAGTATGTTTTTCTCCCAGTAAGGTAAACCTTTAAGAGGTTTTATTCTCTCTACTCTGAATAGTTTTGTTGGTTCATAAGGGGGGTCTTTAAACTCGGGATGTCTAAAATAATTCCACTAACAAATGTTTAAAATGAGTAAAAAATTAACATACCTTGGATAATACTTAAAACATGGATACTGAATTCCTTCATCATGCCATTTATAATATCTTTTACCTAAATTTCTTTTAAATAAAACAGAGGGAGAAAATATTTTTAACAATCCTGACATTTTAATTGTACAGGCTAATCTTCTTCTTCTCACTACATAACCTTACTTTTTAACGTCAATAAAACAAACATTATTTTAATTATATTTATTTTGCAATTTATGAGTTTATCTACCAACTTTTCCTAATTTAGTATCAGTCTTTGGATTCGCGGTGACATTTTGCACAGAGACAATCAATTCGTTGGCCTTAGTTTGCAGATCTCTTAAATCGTGAATGTATAACATACGTAAAATTTTGGCTGCTTGGTTCAAAATTGGGTCTTTTAAGTCAAATCCCAGATCAGCATCTTGAAAAGGAAATGGGGGTACCCTAAAATATCATTCAATAATATATTAATAATATAAATATGTAAATATTTACTGTTAATATGTGTTCTTTTGGGTTTTCCACTGCACTGGGTGAGAGTCTTTTTGAGATAACATTTCTGACTGATTTTAAAGTTACTAGTGGGTCAGGATGTGGGGTTATATCCAAAACTTTGGCTAGTTCCTTTATGCCAGTGTCAAATTCTGGGCAATGAACTAAAATTAACATTTTATTAAGGTATTATGTATTTTATCTACATTAAATTTTCAGTCCAGGTCCCTGACTCAGGGATTTCTTGATGTTTTTCTTAAGTCTTAAGATGATTTTTTTAAAGTAAATATTTAAGTAAAATATTTACTCTATAGTCTGAGCACTAGGTAGCCCCTCTCACTAAGCCTATTGTTAGTATACTATAGGTACTTACAATCAAGTTTGTCAAGAGGATTTTCAGTTACTACATCAGGCACATTGCAGATTTTTAAATTTTCCACAGCATGTTTGATATATTTTTCCTCTAAAACGTAAAAAATATAAAAAACTCCCACACATTTTTTTAACTCACTATTATTTATAGTTTCATTTTGTATAGCATATCCCAAAATCCATTGCAAATCCTCTAAATTAGTTTTAAAAATGGGACAACCCAACTCCTTTTTATATTGTTCAAAATCCTTATCCCAATCCTGAGAATTCACATTTTTTAATGTTTTATTTGGACGTTTAATATGATTCTCATTTAACCATGAAACAATTTGTCTAAAATTCTCTAAAATACATTTTAAAAAAATCATTTTTATCAAAACAATCAACTTACTTGTACAGTCTACATCTTTCGCATTAGGATATTGTAAAGCACTTAACAATCTACGGCTCATTTTATTTTCTTTACACAGATTTTAAAGGTTCTTTAACCAGAGATCTCGGCTTTAACCCAAACCGGCAAATAAAGATTATAAAGGTTAACTTTGTGTCATTTCTGTTCCTATTTTCATGGTTTTTTTAACTTCGACCAAACGATCATAGCTGTCGCCACCGTAATGCAGTTTAGTTTTGACACTTGTGTCCTTTAAAAATTGACGTCTAAACGGAGGAATATTTTAAAAGTTTCTTTAAATAAAGATGACTTAAAAAAGCAACCAATTAAGTTATTCTCTGAAATTCGATTATATAGTTCGGAAAAGGAAATATATTTACTCTGGATTGTTAATAAATCACTCAATATCACATAAATTGTGTTTAAAGTGGGACATTCTACAACGTTGTGTAATAAACCAGGTGATTTAAAAGGCTAAATGTAAGTTTTCTAACCGGACTTTGGAGTTTTTGGTGAAAATTAACTTGAGACTAAAATATTAAGTTAATAACAAATACAGAAATGGCAAGTTTTGCTGCTCAGGCTGCCCTAAGGGCAAAATGGAGCTCCCTTGTTGAAGATCACACAATCGAGGTGCCTCCTGAAGTAACAAATAAAGTGACAAGCGTTGTAGGATGGTTAAAACAGGTTTAATTAATTTTTTAACTAATATTTACCCACATAGAAGCCACTATTTTTTCCTTTAGTGTTTTTTTTACTGTTTGGATAATATTGTTGTAATAAATCTATTAGATAATGATCTGTTTAAATATTGGGATCATTGGCCTTGAAAAGGATTTAGGACTTATTTAAATAATTTAAACATGACACATATCTACTACAGACTTATATGAATGAAACAGCTGCTATAGCTATAGCTATTGCATTCCATATCATTTTAGCAATGTTTTATACAGTACAATTATGTTGATAACTTGCTTGTTTATCTTTTCTAATTATATTAATATAATTAGAAAAGATAAACAAGCAAGTTATCAACATAATTGTACTGTATAAAACATTGCTAAAATGATATGGAATGCAATAGCTATAGCTATAGCAGCTGTTTCATTCATATAAGTCTGTAGTAGATATGTGTCATGTTTAAATTATTTAAATAAGTCCTAAATCCTTTTCAAGGCCAATGATCCCAATATTTAAACAATTGTGATCAGCATATAAAGTAATTATATTGTAATTTATTCAGTTTTTTTTTATTTTTGACCTGGTATGTGTAGGCAATATATATATATATATAGAAGCATGTTTTTTAAATTCATTATATTTAAAAGTTGAATATTTAGTTATAGTAGCATTTTGTTTAAGTGAAAATTGTTTGTGAGTATTTTTAATTGGTAAACAAAATAGTGCACTATTTTTATCTCTGCTGCTTGAATAATAACCTTTGGCATTGCATTGTAAATGTTACTGTAGAAGTAAAATGTTTTTCAAGTTTAAATATATTTAGCCATATATGGCTTTGTTAAAACTGCACTTTTATTTGTGAGTAATTTTTTAAAATTTGCTATTATAATAGCAACTATAGTTGCTATCATGCTACTTGAAAGACAATTTATTTTGTATTAAGGAGATACCTACAATACTACCTACTGCAAATATGTAAAAATAATGATATTATAATATTATATTATATATAACAAAGTTTACTAAAGCCATGTACCTATACAGATAGTAAAAGGGTCAATTTTATATACAAATATTTTTAAAAATATTGTTTTACTATTAAGTACCCTTGTAAGCAGTGGTGGCTGGTGGATTTTGGGTATACTGATATCTCAATTATTAGATATGGGACCCACATCAAATTTATATGAGTTTGCGAAAAAAAGATAACTTTTTATATAGTTTTTATACCATTTTAAATTTTTAATTTTCCTTTCCTTCACAATGAGGCGCCAAGACTCTTCATATAATCAGAGACATGAAAATTTATTACTTATATTTGAACTTAAGTTAATTGTTAGCAAGAGTGTAATTTCAGCTTTTTAACTGGTGTGAAAAGGCGCACTGGGGGTCGGTGGTCCTCACCTGGGAAATTAAAAAAAAAACTAGCACTAAATTGTTAGTTTTTCACACAATTCTCTATTTACCCTAAAAGATTCATTTTAAGTTACTTTTAATAATAGCCAAAATATTTATAAGGAGATATATATATAAATAAATATATAAATTATAATTTATACACAACTTTAAAGTAGGTATATTTAAAAAATTGGGTGTTCTGCTTGATTTTTTATCATTTTATTAAAAATGAAGCAAACATCATAAAAAAGAAAGCTTTACAGTTTACAATTGTTTGTGAATTATTGATATTTTTTACTTCAAAATTCTGGAGTGGCAAAATACTTTGTTGGACAGTTTCTAAGGTGGTAACTGCCACCCCCCGAATTACGCCACTGCTTGTTTGTAATTTATTTTTTCAACTCAAGGGGCCTACTCATCAGTCCAAGATTACCGATTATTGAATGTAAAGATAGCCTTTTTTCTAATTCCTGATGAAAGCCTATTGCAGCCAAGGCCAAAATATTAAAAATCTTTTTTTAATTATAGCATGTTATTTTTATTCTGGAAACCCCCCGGTATTTTTCGCTTTAATCAGTTTATATTTTATGGTAAAGCTTTTTGGTTCTGGAGGACCCTACGGACGAGGGCATCGAAAACCAAAATATTTAAGTTTAACTATACATAAATAAAATGTTTAATTTTTTTTATTATACTGAGAAATACTACTCAATATTTGAAAGCTACCTCTGGACCGGAGGCCCTTTGTATTTTCTGAGAGTTTGTGTCAAAACATTTAAACTTTAAATCATAGAGCCTTTTAAGGAGTCCGAGCTCCATTTATACAAATGATTTGCCAAAATAAGAGGGCGCTGGTGTTCTGTTTGTTGTATGGTTTCTATCGAAACAGCAGACGTCAGTACAAAATGGAAATCAACCCTGGTAGTGGTGAAAAAACATGTAATTTGTGTGATTTAAAGGGCAGGTTCTGTCAATTCCCTCTATTGAGTTTGTTCTCCTTGTGTAGGCTCCGTTTACATATAATATATACGTATATGTCAACCCCCTCTCTGGTCGTCACACAAAGTCACAAAACATACCATCCCTAGTAGGGGTACAATACACCCCTATTGACATCACAAATTTAACTTTGTTATTGATAACAAATTGTAACTTTTTGTTTTTAAAACGTGTTAGGGAAATTATTTTCTATTCTTTTATATATAATTAAATAGGCTCAAAACATTAAAATATTAAAAATTAAATTTTGAATACCCTATTTTTTATTTTTGTGTACTTGAAATTAATGCTACTTACTGTAAGTTTTAAAAAGTTACCTCTTCTCATTTGTATTTTGGTCTTTTACAAGTTTAAATCTTGGTTTTGGAGATGATCGGTTTGCAGCCATTACACGGTACTCCTCAATTTTTACTACCGTAATTAAATTAAATACTATCGCAATAGTTAATATTGCAAACATATTTATTATGCTTGTAATAATTAGGCTTTAGCTTATAAGCATAATAATTACAGTCGTTTTTACTCACAATTTTTTATTATACCGAACGCTACCAAAATTGAGTAACGTGGAATCATTCCACTGAAATGGCTGTTTGGCAAAAAAGAGTAGTAAAAATAAAAAGGTTTAAAAAAAAAATTAGTAGTCATTAAAGTTTTTGATCATACGGCATTGGTTTGTAGTTATTAATGAACGATTTTTTAATAATGAAATTGCATTTTTTAAGAGAAAATTTAAAACACTTTTTTTCACCACCCTTTCTTGCTGCTCCCCAAATCATCTCTGGATCATCCTAAAAACCAAAACTCTCAAAAATTCCATTTAGAACCCAATTAATATTGGGGAAATATTTTTTTAATATTTAATAATAATTTATTGTAAATTACAATTTGTCATATTGTATCTAGCTTTTAAACTAAGAAGGAATAAAAAATCACATAGTTACTTTGCCTATAAAGCTGTTCAGTGGAGCGCATATATTAAATACAATTTAATTTTTATTTATAAAAGAAGCGTTTTATAGAAACGTTTGTTTAAGTATTTTATAACTTTACACTAAGTAGGTACAGGGCGGAAAAAAATAATGCACCTATATATAGGAACCAAATACCAAAAAATCAAAAAATATAAATTTAACAATTCCAGGCTTCCTTGGAGGTGCGTGCGGCTGGTAGAAGAGCGGTAAACACACTGTCAGGCAGCGCGATGTCTCAAAATTTGGTTATTTTACATTTTAATGACGTGTACAACGTGGAGTCCAGGCCGTCACCAGAGCCAGTCGGAGGAGCGGCGAGGTTTTGTACTGCCATCAAAAGTTTTCAGCATCTGCAACCGCTAGTTCTGTTCAGTGGAGACGCTTTTTCCCCAAGCATGTGTAAGCTTTTGTGTTTGATATTCTGAAATATGTCTTTTACTCTGTGGCGGATTTAAGAAAAAAGACCCAGGCGGCTAAGTTTTAAAGATAACTGAAATTCATGGTTAAATAAATGTACAACATTTCAGCTGGGGGGGCTAAAGCTTTTCTGTTGGGGGGGCCCAGGCGGCAAAAGCGCATTTGCCGCCCGTTAAATCCGCCACTGCTTCTACTTTATGTACTTTTGTTATTCCGATATTTCTGAATATGTTTTTAATATTTGTTTTAGTGAGTACTTTTACCAAAGGAGAGCAAATGGTTCCCGTTTTAAATGATATTGGGACACATTGTGCTGTTCTGGGTAACCATGATTTTGGTAAGATCATCAGAAACAAAATGTTTTACTTTACTAGGCCAATTTTTATGATTTCTTTTTGCATTTTTGTACTTTCCCAGGTAAAAAATAGTATATTACATCATGACGCGCAGGACCGAGATTTCAACGTTTAGCCCGTGTGGTGTATTCTATTTTTCTTACTACCTCGGCTGAAAATACGTTGTTTCGTCCCCGATTCCACGGCAGAAAGTTTACGTTTGATGCATTGGTCAAGCTATACGTATTTTCGGCCGAGGTAGTAAGAAAATGTAATTTTCTTACTACCTCGTCTGAAAATACGTTGTTTCGTCCTCGATTCCACCTCCACCGCCCTCTATAATATCGCAAATGTCGGGGCAGGCATCAATATGTTTCGATATACACATTTAATTTTTTCCCGTATTTTCGGCCGGGTAGCAAGAAAAATAGTATACACTACACGGGCAGAAAGTGTGAGAGCCCTGAACTGCGCGCGCAGTTCAGGAATCTCATACTTTCTGCCCTTGTAGTGTAATATACTATTTCTTCATACATCGGTCGAGAGTACTTACTTTCGTCCCTAATAACAGGGACGAAAGTTTACCTCGGTCGAAAGTACGTACTTTCGTCCCTACGAAAGTTTAACATTTACTCCCTGTGCTATTAGGGACGAAAATTCAAGTTTCGGTCCTTGTAGTGTAATATACTATTTTTAAATGCATCTTCCTTAAAATTGTTCAATTGAAAATTTTAAATGCGTTCTTTCAGACCATGGTTTAGAAGTCCTGTCTCAATGGGTAGCCCAATCCGAATTCCCCTGGCTGATGTCAAACGTGTTGGACAACGAGACAGGACGCCCTCTAGGAGAGGGACGCATAACTCACGTTGTCCACTGGACCGGACACCGAATTGGTCTTATAGGCCTTGTAGAAAAAGAGTGGCTAGATACTTTAGCCACCATCAATCCTGAAGAAGTAAGAAAATTTGTTTTTTTTATTTATGAATTAAGTAACTATTTAATGTTAATATTAAACATTATTTTAATTATAACTTTCTTTACAATCTAATATTGTTTATTTGAAGGTAACATTTTTGGACTTCGTTGAAGCCGGCCAGAAGTTAGCCGCGCAACTGAAACAAGAAGGCTGCGATTACGTAATCGCCCTCACGCACATGCGCACTCCGAACGACCTGAAGTTAGCCGAGAACACTCAGGATATAGATTTGATTTTGGGTGGTCATGATCACGTCTATGAGATTAAAAAGGTAAATGAGAAGTTTGTCGTCAAAAGTGGGACGGATTTCAGGCAATTTAGCAAGATTACAATTAATTTTGAGAGTGCTGGGACTCCGGAGGTTACTATTGAAGAGGTTAATGTTACGTCGCAGTTTGTAGAGGATCCGAAGTTAAAGGAGAAGCTGGATAAATATACAAGTAAGTTTTAAAATAGTGTAGTTATTTTTAGTTATTAACATATTTAATTAAAAATTATTCTTTGACACAATAGTAAATTTTTGAATGGTCTGCAATTTTTATATGAATTTGAATGAAATATATATATTGTTTATTGTGTATAAATTTCGTAATTTATATAATACAAAAATACATATTGTATTATTTTTAGAAAATAAGACGAAATTAGCTTGACACAACAAATTAAGTTTTGAGTATGGAGCATAGTACATTAAGCCTAATCTACAAAAACCTGAAACAATTTATTATTATTATTTTTAGAAAATAAGACGAAATTAGCTTGACACATAAAATTAACCTTTATTATTTGTAACAAAGTCACGTGGTGGGACTTTTGAGTATGGAGCATAGTACATTAAGCCTAATCTACAAAAACTTGAAACAATTTATTTTTATGTTTAAAAACTCAATGTATAAGCTCTCGTATCTTTTTAAATAATAAAGTTTGAATTTTTTAACAATTATATGGGATTTCTGGGTGTCTCTTCAAGGTGGTGCGCGACTTTTGGGACATATTGTTTTGTGACTCACTCCTGTAAAATCTTTATTTATTGTGCGATTTTAAACGGATTTGTTTTAAAGTGTAGATCTTTATAAACTGTATTTTGGAGCCAAAAAACATATTTTTAGAAAATACAAGGCCTACTATGTCAGTTTTTGAGAGTAAATTTGAAAGAATGCACATTAGCGATTTTATAAAAAAAAATCTATGAACGGCACTGGATACAGCACCCGTCAAAACGACCCTAATCTAAATTTTATTAAAAAAATTTAAGTAGAAACGATTTTGTAGCTAAATTAAAAATGCACAATAATTAATAATAATAATAATAATAATAATAAGTCTTTATTTAGTAAATAAGTTTACATAAATTGTTGGGCGAAGTCTAGCCAACTATTTAAAAAAATTTATTCTGTCAAGTTATCCATGAAAAAACATTGAAATAAAATGAAACTAGTAGAAACAGGTATAAATACATGGTATAAATATTAATATATATGCTTAGTTTTGACAATAAAAAAATAAAAAACTGAAAACAACAGTAAAACAAAAAATATTATTGGGAAATTCCACGTTACTCGGTAATTTTTGTCCCGCCCGTCACAATTAAAAATTGTGAGTAAAAAACACGTTATTAAATTTATTTTAAAATATTGTTTATTATGCTTGAATATTGAAATAAAATGAAACTAGTAGAAACAGGTATAAATACATGGTATAAATATTAAAATATATGCTTAGTTTTGACAATAAAAAAATAAAAAACTGAAAACAACAGTAAAACAAAAAATATTATTGGGAAATTCCACGTTACTCGGTAATTTTTGTCCCGCCCGTCACAATTAAAAATTGTGAGTAAAAAACACACGTTATTAAATTTATTTTAAAATATTGTTTATTATGCTTGTAATAAGCTTATAATATAATAATAATATAAGCACAATAAAAATAATATTATAAAATAATAATTTAATAACTTGTGGTTTTTACTCACAATTTTTAATTTAGATACACAATCGTTCATACTTACAAATTTTCAATGAAATTTCGTAAAGGGTCGTTTTGAGGAGTGGTAAATCCAGTGCCGTGCATAAATTTTTTTAAATCGCCAATATGAATTCTTAAAAATTTACTCTCAAAAACTGACATAGTAGCCTTGTATTTTGTAAAAATATGGCGTTTTTTGACAAAAAAATACAGATTAATAAGATCTGCACTTGTACAATACATAAAGATTTTACAGGGGTGATTCGCAAACAAATGGGTCACACTGTATATAAAAAAATATTATAAGTGAGTAAAAAAAAATCAATTGAAAATAAACAAAAAGAATAGTTGATCCTCGTATGGGATTTGAGCCCCGAAAATAATTTTTTGGACCTTAAGTTCGTTTTCTCGAAATGTGTTACATAATATGTATATATTACATTTTTTGCATTTTGCACAACGTAGGTATGTTAAAAAAATCTGTTTTGTAACTTTCTTCCAAAAGTTCTATTCTAAATAAGATTTAGAATTTACATTTGTATTTATTTTAATACTTTTTTAAATTTTTACCTTGTTTTGTTTAAAAATTGAATATTATTCAATTTGTCAGGGACTAGAAAATTTTATAGTATTTTTAGTAATCATGTTTTATTAAATAACTACAATTGAGGGGCCTAGAAGTAAAAGGGTTTAAGTGCATTTTTGTTAGTTCTGAGATAAATGGCTTTAAAGTTAACTTGAATTTTAAAATTCTAGAAAAGAGTTTAAAAAACTGTGTGAATATTTTAGTTTTGTTTAAAAACTAAAAAGGATTATAAAGAAAAAGGAATTTTTCAATTTCGCTTTTTTGTTAATTCTTTACAAAAATGTACTTGAATCGTCATGCATGTAAGACAAAATTTAGTGGTAAAATGATTTAAATGCAATTACTGTACTAGAACAAAACTTTATTTTTTAAAATTTGGGTAATTACCCAGCAAACACACTAGTCCGGCCATGCAATGGCACATTAATGGGCCATTGCATTATGTTTTACAACAAAAAGTATTATTCATAATCAGAATCTAATACAACGTTTTCTTCATCTGAATTAGCTGGTCTTGGTTGGGGTTGACCTTAATTTGATTTTTTTGGCTCAATACTATGGTCTTAGTTTGTTTCTTTTTTTTAACGTGTGTTTTTTACTCACAATTTTTAATTGTGACGGGCGGGACAAAACTTACCAAGTAACGTGGAATGCCCCTGTAACATATTTTAAGCAACAATTAATTTCCTATTATTATTTTTCAAAATATTTTTTATTTAATTTAATTAACTTAACTTACGCTAGAATTTTACATTTTTTTAATGTGAAAGGTAACAAAATCATAAAAATGCCTTTATACAGGTAATAAAAAAAATTCAAAACTGTTTTTTTTTACTTGTGACACTTTTGAAGCGGGGTTCCGATACAATTGTGGTTTAATTTTTATTATTAGTAATCTGAAAAAAATATTGCAAAACCATCGTGCGTGGCTTATACTTTAAAAAACTCAAAAGAAATCGTAAGAAGTAAAACACCCGTGCATATCGTATACGATATGCATAGGCATATATGCCTATGCAAAAGTGTAACATTTGAATCTGGTTCGCACGTGACGTCACATGCGCGGAGTCGATGACTCATCTTTTGGAGCAACCTTTTAGTTTAGCACAAAAAGACTCACTTCTGGTTATGAAACGGAAACTCATCAACGATGAGTTTCCGTTTCATAACCAGAAGTGAGTCTTTTTGTGCTAAACTAAAAGGTTGCTCCAAAAGATGGTTCCACTAGTAGAATAATGAAAACAAAAACAATTGTAAACAATAAATTAAAGTATTTTTTTACATACATACTTAAATAGGGTTATAAACATTGTTAACATAATTAGAATTAAATTTTAAAGGCAAAAAATCCCAAAACCTGTAGAAAACTTAACCTTAAAACCAAAACAGGAATGCGAGTATTCTTTCCACGCTCGCTTTAAATTTAATTTTAACAGAATTAACTTTTTAAAAACATTTTTAATTTGCTTTGAAACATTTTTTTATTGTATCTATGTGGCACTCTTTAGTATTGTTTGTTAATAAACTTCTTTCCTTGTGCACAGGCATTGTCGAAGGCAAAATGGACGAAGTCCTCGGCTGCTTCACGGTGCCGCTGGACGGCCGATTCACCTCGATCCGCACCGCCGAATCGAACCTCGGTAACTGGGTATGCGACGTGGTATTAGCGGCAACAGGGGCTGACCTCGTTATCCTGAACTCGGGAACGTTCCGATCGGACCAAGTCCACCCAGCAGGGGATTTCACGATGAGAGATCTTACGAACATTATTCCCATGAGGGATCCTATTGTCGTGCTGAAAGTGACTGGTCAGCAATTGCTGGAGACATTGGAGAACGGAGTTAGGATGTATCCGAAATTGGAGGGCAGATTTCCACAGGTATTAAAATAATAATAATAACACTGTAGGTAGGTCAACTTTTGAAATATCACAGCGTTTACGCTTGGACACGTAAACATAATTTTGGTTGTAAATTACAAATGCTCGGTTTAACTGTATTAGGTCTAAACAAGTTTTTTCTATTGGCAATCCGATCTGGGGACAGTGTCCCCGGGACACACTGGTATATTATAGTTTGTAAAATAATATATTTCACCTCTTGTGTCAACATTCCCAAGCTTTTTATTTCGTTTAATGTAATAACCTCAATTATATTTTTTATTCCTTGGAGAATAAAACCAAATATTGTATCCCAATAAATTAAACCGTTTAATTATTCAAATAAATGTGTTCTATACAATGGTTTATAAGTAACTGAATTGCGACTAAATTGTTGTGCACTCCTTAACATAAAAAGTGCGTACAAAAAACTATAAACAATTTATTGCTCATACAAATATATTACAATATTTAATTTAAAAAAAAATCAGCAAAAAACAATTTGAATTTCCTAAATAATATAAAAAAAACCTCAGGGACACCTCTTCCTTTTGACCAATTAACCTCAAACTTCAAGAATTTGGAACCAATGTGGGGGGAGCCAATTTTTACCTATTGACCTACTTACAATTCAAAATCAAAAATCATTAGGCCGGACATTTTGCCCTAAAAGCTGGACATATCTTTTTTCATAGACAAACATAACTTTTTTAAACATATACATAACTTTTATAATAAACTGCGTTGCGTATTTTACACATGTTAAGGAGTTATAACTATTGTTATTAACTAAAACTAAAAATCGTACAAAAACAAACAAGTCCGGATAAAGCCCGGACGCCTGGCAACCCTAGGCCCAACATCACCCAGGTGCCTTACTTGTCTAGTGTGAAAACATTCCGATTTCATCATTAATGGAGCGGTATTCTCTAGAACAACGAGAGTATTGTTAAGACTTACTATAAATATGGATAAAACTTTATTGTATATATGCTATAGCATATATACATATATACAGGGTGTCATTAAATAAGTTGTAATTTTAAAGGAATGATAGTACACGCCAACAGAAAGTTTTTCCTCTATCATTTTTGCATTACTTAGTGCCATTTTTATAATAAATTTAATAAAAAAAATCATTTTTATAAGTAAAGTAGAAATTTTGGGTCGCCACTGGTTGTTCCTGACCTACGACAACTGACGAAAAATGTGCTTGCACAGTGGGCAATAATCTACATTCATTAAAAATTTACATTTGTGTTATCATTAATTACTTAAGTAATTTGTTGATAACAGTGGCGGCTCATAGGTTTTGAAAGAGGGTGGGCACAAAAAACTTACCTACTAATTTTTGTACATAAAGTCCATTCTCCTATTTTTCATGCGAGAAAAGACATGCATTCATGTGAGAAACTTAGCCCTCTCTGCGATGTGTTTTAAATCATCTAACCCATGTTGAGTCCACGCACTAATCTCTTTTTTGAAAATTAAGCACATAAAACAAAAAAGCTTATTTGTTACTGAACAACCGCATATCCACCCGTATTTATCATATATATTTCTGTTGAATACTCTATTGTAAGTTCGGTCTTTACCTGTGGAAGTGTAGTTTATTCGAAGATCGGGAATAGGTCTTACTTTTTCCATAATTAAAAGTTTATCTTCATGTGACATCGGGCTTTTTAAAAGATTTTGCACACAATTTACTTCCGCTGGTTCCATTATTGCTATTAAAAAATAAAGTTTATTTAACAAAACACGTAATTCACAACTCAAAAAAACACAACAGCGCGCGGCGACAAAAAAGTTAGAAATCAAACCAACCGACAAATACAAAAGCTCTCTGCAAACCATAGAAAAAGGATATGCAAACTGGCTACAAGAGACGCAGCGCTCGGTGCCCCTAATTGACGATATATTCGAATAATGCTTGGAATGGGTACATTTAAAATTGGGGCCCGGCGCAGTGTTGCCAGATTCGCAATCTGGCCGGTACAGCGTTTTGCTCGCTCCAGCATTGCGTAAAGAAGGTTTAAATCCAACCGTTTGAGCGAACGGAAGAAAGGTTTAAGACCATCGTAAAACTAAAATAATGCACAATGCGACAAATAACTTTTATTACTTTACTAGCCGCCACTGGTTGATAATTGTTTTTTGTTTTGCATGCTCAGCTATTTTCAGGTACTTTGAATAAAACAATACAATTGTCTCGAGGTTTCCGTGTTTTTTAAGTGTTCCGCAAAATCCTAATAACCGAACTGTCAGTAATCAATGATAACTAAGTACCTACTAACCGATTTTGAATAAGTTTAAAAGTTTGCTTGATATTACATAAACCTAAGTTTTTAATGAATATCGCCCACCTGTTTCTGTTTTGCTTGGATAAATAATATCATAATTAGAGGTAAAAACAATGATGATATATAGGATTGGTCAGTGATATCCAGTGGCTCCCTGGTTTTGTCAAAATATATCCATAATTTTTTTATTCAAAAACAGTGGGTATTTCTTATATTCTGTTTTATGCATAATCAATGTGAAGGTTTATGTTGAAATAAAACCAAAAATTAATTCAAAATTTGTAACGTATTTATTAACATCAATCAAATTGCGTTCCTATTGGGAAACCCTTTACTTATTTAATCCCTTTTTAACTGGTACTGGTCACTAGAAAATTTCTAGTAGAAATATTTAATTTTAAAATGTATTTGTAAAATTCTAAAATGCGATTTAAGAATGAATAAAAACATTATTATTATTTTAGGTGGCAGGTGTTAGTTTCGCCTTTGATCCTAACAAGCCCAGCGGTCAAAGAGTGGACCCAAACTTCGTCCGGATTGGAGACGAGTACCTTAAGCTAGAACAAAGTTACAATCTCGCGACGAAGAACTACATGCACTCGGGCTGCGACGGTTACACCATGCTCAAAGAAGCCGAGATTCTGCTCGAAGAAGATGCCTGTCCTGAACTTGGTCTAGCTATAACCAACCATTTCCAAGCAATAAACATCCGGCTGGGCAAAACCAAGAAACACTCCAAGCACCGGCAGTCTCTGGTGACCCTCTCCAGAAGACACAGTCTAGTTAAAATGCTGGACGGCAGCGAGTTGGATGGTCCGCCGCCTCTGCGCAGGGCCAGCACTGTGGAGACGTCGTCAAGTCCGCCGACGCATGCGCATCACCACCCCACCAGGCAGCTGACGAGAAGGGCCTCTCTCGACGATTTGGAAAATGAGTCGTGTCAGATGACGCCCAAGATCGATCACCGAATCCAGATTATTAACAGTCCAGAGGTAAGTGTACAACACAGACTTAAGTCCAAGGTTACATGTTCAAATGTTCTAAAATATATAGGGTGTCTCAAAAGTCAAGGACAGCAGGAAAGGGGTGGATAGAGGATAACATTTTAAGTCGAATAGTCTTTGCCGTTTTTCGATCATACGCACCACAATCCACACAACAAGGTCTGTTCGATCTCGTACTAAAAATACTAAAAATCACTGCAACACTGCACATCATACAATGGCGGCAACTTTTGTTGTTTACAATTCTTGTGCTTTGGGTTTGTACAGATTAATAATCGTTTTAAACGTTGTGTTTCTTACAGAAAGACTTGCAAGCCTTAAAAGAGACCTTAAAGTGATAAGAAATATCATTTTATAACCCACAAATTAACCTTCAAACATTTGACAGCCCTCTGGTTGTGTTCCGTAATTTACTGTCAGTACTGAAAACGCATTCCGAAATCCACTTTCAGTTACTGAGCTCAGTGGTAAATACTACCCTTTTATAAATGTACAGCAGATTAATTTTACTGAAACAACTGGTGACAGAGAGGTGCTGTGGCTCCAGTAAAACACATAACCAAGCTTTTAAACATAAAAAATAGCTGTCAAATAAAGTGAAGGATATAATGGTATTTGGTGAATACCTAGGACTTATTATTTCAATATTTATTTATAAAATATTACTTGAAAGTACAAGCAGCAGTGATAAAGGACACGAATTAATAATTAAAGGAGGATGGCAGGACCGCCGGGGAGTACGCATACGAAGACCCAGAATATTAAACTACCTACTAGGTAGTACCTAGAAAATGTTATACATTTGTATTCAGCGTTGTATTTCCTATTCCTATATACATTTTTAGACGCGGACGACGATAACATTTTATTTTCCATATTTCTCTGCCATAAACCAAAAATTATATTTCTTATAACTGTTATATTTATTTTTTATTTATGTTCTCTGCTGTTCCGAAAGTAAAGTTTGTCAAATGTCAGTAAATTGCAAATCATAACCTTGCGTAACCATTGTCACTTTCTGCTGCTACTGAGGCGCGTTCCAATTTTACTATTGCGTCAGTACTGAATAAATTACGGAACGGTTTTTTTTCGCTACTGACAGTAAAATTACTGATTCAATTCAATTCAATAAATCTGAATACAGAGTATCTCTGTATTCAGAGGTTAATGGCCTTTAGCTTTTTTATAAGCTATTTGGCCAGCTCATTCGATTTTGTTCTTAGTTGAAAGACAAGGTTCCCATTTAAGAGTGTCTGAGCGTTCTCATCCCTTGTCTTGTGTACTTGTGTCACTGTGTATTTGGTATTTTTTCTTCTTTTCTAATTGACCTGGTTTGTTTTGTTTTTACAATTAATTTTACAATGTTATTAAGGATAAACACAACAAAGGAAAGACTTTTCACGCTTGGGGGCAGCGACCAAGCGACTTGGACAACCCCAAAGATGCTACCTCGGAAAGGTTCCCAGGATTTGAGTTCTGGTTGGATCTGAAAGTATATGAATAGAAGTTTATTTTGTTTGTTTTAAGGTATTTTATTATTATGTTTATATTTGTTTATTTATTTTTGTTAGTATTGTGGGTATACTAGCTGGAAGTATGGTGCCATTTTTTGCAAATTCAAAGTATATGTCAATTCCGGGGATTTTATTTATGGGACATTCCAGTATCATGTGGGTTATATTTTCGTATTCTCCACACTCACAGTAGGGGCTTTCTGATACTCCAATCCTATTCAAGTGTGATTTGTAGAGTCCGTGTCCGGATCTTAAGCGTATTATTGTTGTTAGGTGTCTTCTATTTTTTATTTTGTTAGTGTGGAACCAGGGTTTGCTTGGAAACTTTTCTTCTATTTCGTTGTACCATTTTCCTTTAGTTTTTGATATTAATTTCCATTTTTTGTTCCATGTTTATTTTATTTGTTTTCTCATCTCTGGTATCATTTCATTCATGTCTGTTTCACAGTCTAGGGGAATGTTGAGGTTTGTTGCGATTTTGGCCAGTTGGTCTGCCTTTTCATTAGGTACCTTGGATGCTGTTATGCCCTGGTATCCAAGCTAATTTGAATATAAAATCGTTGTCATTGGCTGTCACAATCAGTCTTTTAGTTGCCAGCGACATATAATCATCCTTAGAGTTGTATTTGGTGTTGGTTAAAATTTGGATGGCGCTAAGAGAGTCTGATAATATTACATTTTTTTACTATTTTTGCCTAGCACAATCTCAATCCCCTTGCATTATTACTGATAGTAATGGCAGTAAATTACGGAACACAACCAGAATAAGGTTTATTTTTTACAAAAGAGAAGTAAAATAATTGTTCTTACCACTTTAAGGTCTCTTTTAAGGCTTGCAAGTCTCTGTAAGAAACACAACGTTTAAAACGATTATTAATTTGTACAAACCCAAAGCACAAGAATTGTAAACAACAAAAATGGCCGTCATTGTATGATGTGCAGTGTTGCAGTGATTTTTGGTATTTTTAGTACAAGATCGAACAGACCTTGTTGTGTGGATTGTGAACAGCACTAAGGTTTTCGTACTCTTCATCTTTTATGGGAGGAAGGAAGGAAGGAAGGCAATCTATAAATCAGGCTTTATTTTAAGGAAAATTTGTGAGCCTAAATCTCATTGGATGCTTAAAGGTCAATCCATTTCTCTGCAAGTACATTTCACAACGTTTAATGATGTTCGTTTTGACGTTCTCTAGCATTTCTGCTGTTATGTCGGCTTGCGACAATTGATTCGTTCCAGAGTGTCGAGCTAATCCTCGGGCATGATTTTGTAAACGACGCCCTTCATGTATCCCCATAAGAAACAATCCAGAGGTGTTAAGTCTGGTGATCTTGGGGGTCACCGAAACGGGCTGTTTCTTCCAAACCAGCTTTGTGGGGACTTAGCATTTAGGTGATCTCGGACACGACCGGAGTAATGAGCCGGTGCACCATCATGCAGGAAGTACTGAGGACGCTCTCCAACTGAAACTTCTTCGAGCAACCCTGAAAGAACCTCTTGCAAAAATGCCAAGTACGACTTTCCCTAATAAATAATTAAAACATTGTATGATCAACTCATGAAAAGATAAATTGATCATTTTTTTAACTTGCGTTTAGCGTTATGGTAACTGATATATCAGTTACCATAACGCTAAACGCAAGTTAAAAAAATTATCGGAGACACCTTTCTAAGAAAGAATCTTTTATATATAAAAGAAAGGTGTCTCCGATAATACCGCCGCACATATTAATTTCCCACCTGTGCTGAAAACTTTTCACCCTTTCAAAATGTAGGTTTTCATTCGCGTACTGATGTACATTATGGGGATTAAAACACCCCTCACAAGTGAAGGGTATTTGCCTCAGAAATTTTTAGAATACGATTGCAAAACTCTCTTCCCATCTCGTAATCTCCAAATTCTAGATGTTGCACCTTGGTCGCGTGGTAGGGATGGAGTGCGTTGTCCTTAGTTATGAGGTTAACGGTACTGCGGGAGATCTCTAAGTCATGCTTAAGTTGGCTAGCGCTCAGCTGCAATGGCCTCAAGAACGCGTTATTCATTATGAAGGCTGCGAGCTGTTCGTGGACGGCCAACGCATTCAGCAGCACCCGGTAAAACGTTGCCATTCATATTAAATTCGTAAACCGCGCGAAGAATTGAATCCTGGTTCAAAAACCGATCAAGCAAAAAATTATAGTCGAAACTGGCGTGCAGCTTCCGCAGCAAAGTTTTTTTTAATAATTTTAATGAAATAATTATTTTTACTTATTTAAAAAAAGTAAAGTATAGTCAATTAATTATTATTAATATTAATTAAATGATTATTTTTCCTTATTAAAAAAAAGTTAAGTAAAGTATATCATCATTAAAGATGGGATATTTAGGTACTAAAAACTGAAAAATAGGTAACTAAAAAGGTACTAAAAAAAGCATTTTAGGTTAAAAAAAACATTAAAAGTTCAAGTTTTTGTTTAGCCGCATACCCAAACACAGAACATACCCACAATAAACTATGCAATAAACTGTGTGACACTCACTACACAGAAGTTCTATGGCAGAACATAAGCTCACTACAAAGAAGGTAACTGTAAAGAAAGTTACTGTTACAGTCTGTAACCATAAGAAAAAATTCTATACCGTTGAGTTGCACGCCCTGGATAAAATATTGGTGCAAAATTTAAAAAGAACACAAAAAATAAAATAAGTACAAATACGTAAAAATAGGTAACAAATATGTGAAAATAAACTGACAAATTAAAAAATATGTAACAAAAGTATAAAAAGGTAGTTTAAAGCAAAAACCTCCAAAAAAGGTGAAAACAAGTTAAAAAAATAGGTAACAAAAGTATAAAAAAGGTAGTATAAAGCAAAATCCTCCAAAAAAGTAAAAAAGGTGAAAACAAGTTAGGTTCATATAAAAGAAAATTTTTTAAAACACATTTTGGCATTATTGGTTTTCAAATAGTTACATCGGTTGAAAAAAGGTAAAATAACTAAAATCCCATCCCTAATCATCATCAACCTAGGTACAGTTCATTTTTTTTATCTGGACTCGTGTTTTTTTGTTAGGTTGGTGGCTTATGCCAGTTTGACTTAAAAATGGTAATTCTCCTAAAGAATTTAATTAAATACTTTGACAACGTCAAATTGACAATAATATTTATTATTGATAATTTACTTGTCAATTATAAATAAAAAGATAATTATGCCAAAAATAATAGCAACGAATTCGAATGTAAAAGCCCTTTTGAGGGCAAAACTTCATTTTGATGAAATTATGCCAAATGCCACAATGGAAGAAAAAGTACATCGCCTTATGGACATTTTTGGAGTAAAAAAGTAACGAATTTGGTTTTAATTTTTTTTATATAAATTCTTTTCAAAGCGAAGTTTATTATCCGCTAGGAATACATTTTCTTCTGGGCTGTAAAGCAACCTATATTTAACTACTTTTTTATATGATTTTACTCATCCAAGTACCACCAAAGCCAAATTAATTGCATTTTCGACAACTCAACTTGACAACTGCACAATGTAACCTACAATAATTTATACCTACATAACCACAATTAGATTTATAACTAGTAGTTTGTTTTATTCAATGCGACCAATTTTGGTTCTTTATTTACCAACCAAAACCCTAAATTTGCAACGTTGCCGCAGTCCAGATAAAAAAATGAACTTTAGGTCCCACACAAAAAAAAAACATTTCTCCCGAACCTAAAAAACCAAAACACTGACAGTGAAAAAATAAAATTAAGGGTAATTTCACAATATGATACGTTCATAGATATGGAATAGCAAAAGGTTTTGTTGTCTCACCTCTAATAATTCTGCTAGAGCACGCCTGTGATTGGATACTTTATATTATTAATAACCAATTAATGGTGCGTCTGATCAAAAAACGGCGAAGACTATTTGACTTAAAATGTCCACCCATTTTCTGCTGTCCTTGACTTGTGAGACACCCTGTATAGACATTAAAAAAAATCTAATATTTCTGTACTTCCGACGCTAAAAAATTGGTTCTTAGGCACCTCTAGAAAGTGCTCACCAAATTTGAGCTCTTAATATTAATCACAGTTTTCCATTTTTTCTTTAGTCCCTTATAAAATCGTTTAATCAAATCTTCATACATATTTTTGTAGGCAATTGAATACTCTACAAAAAAGGACTGATGTGTTTGAGCGATTACTCTAACCATTTAAAAGATATTTTAGATCAAAGAATTTATTACAAATTTTTTTGTTTTAAATATTTTTGTATAACTCATTGAAAAATAATTATTCTCAAATGAGTATGGCATATTTTTGTAGGAAATTTCACTGATGTGTTTAATTGATTACACTAACCGTTGAGAAGATATTCGTTCAGTACGCATTGGGATTCGAATACGAATATCTTCTTAACAGTTCGAGTAATCATTTAAATACATCAGACCTTTTTTGTAGAGCGTTAAATTTCCTACTAAATATGTCATACTTATTTGACAATATTTAATTTTTAAGAAGTTACAAATTTACAAAAAAAAATTTTTTTATAAACCCCTTAAACTTTCATCTTTTAAATGATTAGAGTAATCGCTTAAACACGTCAGTCCTTTTTTGTAGAGCATTCAATTTTCTACAAAAATATGTATAATGATTTATTTAAACGATTGATTAATAATGAAATATGGTCTTTTTTTAAAAGGGAGCACTTTCTAGAGGTGCCTGAGAACCAATTTTTCAGTTTTGGTAAGTAAATAAGTAAAAAAATATTCGATTTTTTTAAATCACCCTAATAGACATTTAATAGGCATTTTTTTGCGTAAATACTATGAAATTGTATGGTTATTAAACTTAACCTTAGTTAATGGTTAATGTATTTTCGCGTTTAGAGTGCGTTCCAAAATCTTAACTATGACGTCACATTTACTAGACCATAAAACTACCTCGGAAAGCTGGTTATTAATCTGGTTAATAGTCTATCTCTTTCTAATGTGTATATTTCTTTATTTTAATCTGTCAAAAATGTTGTTTTGATGTCAAAAAATATTTAAACAGGTAACCACACTTTTTTTTATATCAGGCGTGATTGGCTACAAGTGTAACGTCATGAATTTTAATCAGAATTTCCAAGGTGGAAATTCTACGTTATAAAGTTTATAAACAACAGAGGGGACATTTGAAATGTCAATCAATAACCGTGGTTAAACGAATTAACCATAGATGACCGAAGGAATTAACCGTGACGTCATAACTTATTTAACTATACTGCCCTACTATGGAGAAAGGCAGTAACTGCAAAAAAATGCAAAATGCGTTTTCTTGTGCTATGGTAAAGCTATGGACATTTTGTAACCGAATTCAACACAGAAATGCAGTCAAATATCTCATAAGTTAAAAAAATCAATTAAATACCTACTGTTTTTTATAAAAATGTAGTTTATGCTAATTTTTCACAAATTTCTTGTTTAGCAGTTACTGCCTTTCTCCATAGTAGGGCAGTATAGTATTTCGTGGTAATTACGCGAAAAAACGCCTATAATGTCAATAGCATTGACATATTATCCATAAAATTTTGGGGGCGGGGGGTTTGGTTCTAAAATATGTAGTACATTATATTGACATTTTATATATTTACTTAATGAGTGCGCTACTCTACTACCGTAATGAAAAACCGCTGGATGAAATTTTTTATTACCTATTTTAATTATGGGGCGTTTTTTGGACAAAAATAATTATAAAAATACGTAAAAATAATAATTGTAATAAGTTTTTAATAAGTAATAATAATAAAAAGCCCAAACACTCCATTGGAGAGGAGCAATAAGAGAGAGAGAGAAATACCCATTTCAAGTAAATTGGAGGCAGTCTGAGATTTTTAAAATGAGTGGTTGTGTGTTTTGTCCCAAAATCTTGGGTTTAAAATCATTATTAATTATTTTTTTTAAATTTTTTTGTCATATGACGATTTTGTGGCATTATTTTATAATGTTATTTACACTTTGATTCTACTTCTAATTATTAAATTTGAGCAAATCCGGGATTTCCTGCGTTCTGAAAAAAGGGGACATAATTTCTAACTATCAATATAAATGCTTTTTATTAACTTTTTATATATATTTAAAATATCTTATCTATCACATGGTATGATGTTAGTGCGCCCTTTTCAGAAAAAGATTAATTAAAACTATTTTTGGTCTTCAATTATTTTTTTATAATATAATTATTTTCAATGATTTTGACAATTATTTAACTTAACAAAAATTAAATTAATTATGATTAAGGGCCACTTTTTTCACTTTAAGTTAAGTTTCAGTTAGTCTGACAGATATGGAAATCATTGTTTTTAAGAAAAAACTAAACTGACCAGAAAACATTTTCAATGTTTTTTTAATAATTTCCCAACTTATTTTAAAACTCAACTTTTCAATTCATTTCAGAAACTTCAAGAACTTATTCAGCAGCGTCAAAGAATAGAGCAAAACTCAATAATTGAAGAGGTGGATGAATATTCCCCACCAAATTAATATTATAAAGTAAATATAAAAATTAAATTAGGTAATTTATTTTTAGCATAAGTCTCTGCCTTTTATAATATTATTAATAATTATATGAACACCATTCTATGAAAAAAACTAACTCTAAGTAGGTATCTGCACAATATCAATGCTATAAGGTTTAAAAGTTTTTGTACATTCCACAACGAGCTGAACAAAAACTACTGTACTGTACTGTTGAATCGAACAATTTTCCGTGAAATCTTTACATTAAGATTATACATGATATAACTTTACACGGTGTCCCAAAATTGGCAGCCAAAAGGATAAAAGCAATATCCTCTTGAAATTCCACGACCATTTTTTCGAATTTGCAAAATTGCAGGAGTTATTTAACTTTTACAGCTGCCAATGAGAGTGCAGTATTTTCGCTCTATCGGACGAGCCCAGTGTTTGATCGAATGTATACATCTACATTTGGGTTGTCCACCTATAGTTAGATGCAGAGCCTGAATATTCCCGATTTATTAGACTGCTAATGATTATACCCAGTTCATCATGTTCAAATGAAAGAAGTTGTTGTGTACTGCGGCGAGTCAAAAACTATTTACGATCGACAATGGCGCAAAATCGATTAAATTCACCTGGGGAATGAAATCGTTCCACCGCCCCTGGGTAGGTGGCTTTAAAACTAAATAATAATAATTGATCCAAAGGATTACAAACTAATTTAAATGAAAATAGACAAACTCAATAAAAAGCATGCAATATCAAAATATTTTTTACATTCACAAACTTTTAAACAAACAGTTAATTATGCAGCATTGCCCCTATATAATATGGATTTAATAACTCCTGCAATTTTACTTTTTTTTCTTGGAGTTCAAGAGAAATTTACTAGGGGTGTTTAAACTATTTGAATATTTCAACCACTTGAATAATTCGAATGATTTAAATGGCTAACCATTCAATTGTCAAAATTTAATTTTCCAACAATAATCAGTCACACTAATCAAATAAATTTAGCTATTTCCATGATTAAAAATTAAAAAAAAAATTGTTTTGTCAAATAGTTAATTATAATAATTCCTGTTGAAAATTTTTATTTTTCTAATATTTGAATAATTCAACAGTTTTTAAAATTTGAACCATTTAAATAATTCGAACTCGAATAGTTCGAATATTTCATTCGTCTCGAATAACCCGTTAATTTGAATATTCACACACCCCTACAATTTCCCTTTCTCTTTGGACCGCCAATTTTGAAAAATATGTTTATTTCAGCTTCTATACTTCCTAAATGGTTTATGATGAGTATTTGTGTGCATGATGAGACAAAATATCCTCAAAAAAAGATTTTTAATAAGCAGAATACTCAAAACGAATTTAAGTTAATGTCGTTTTTGACATTTACAAACTTTCACCTTAAATTATGGAGCCTACACAAGGGGTATAAAATGTATACAAAGTTTTTCTAAAATAAGAGGGCGCTGGTGTTCTGTTCTGAAACAGCGGACGTCAGTACAAAATGGAAATCAGCGCCATTAGTGGTGAAAAAAGTAAAGTAATTTGTGCGATTTAGTAGGCAAGTTCTCTCAATTCCCCTTATTAAGTTTGTACTTCTTGTCCTAAATATTACCAACGGATTTTATCGTACGGTATGCAAAAATGGTAAATTAAATATGAAATTTGAGTTGTTTAAAAAGCAGTGATATTTTATTTAAGAACAAAAGTATAAAATAAAACAAATTTATCGTACATCTGGCAACATTGCAATTTGGAAAAAACAGTGTCATGCCCAAGTTCAGGCACAATGTGCTGCTTGGGATTCCCCCTATTGAGTTCGTACTCCTTGTGTAGGCTCCATTTTAGAACGTAGAATATTTAGACCGCATAAAAATGGTCAAAATATTTAAATTTAGCAAAATGTGTAAAGTTTTGACTTTAAAATTTTTTTAACAACTTTAAAATATATTTTTGACATTATGACGATTTTTGATAAAGTTCTTGGCGTATATGTTTCAAAGAAAGAACTTGGCTCATCCTGTAGATATAAAATTATTGCACCACTTTATATTTCTGTTTTTTCTGTTAATATAATGCACTGGTGTTTAAAAATGCTGATGCTTGTACACATTACACAACACAAGTCAATTAACATTAGAATAAGTTTTTTAATATTGTTATGTAAAAAACTGATTTGTTGTTAAATATGTAACTATTATTAGTTTAAAACTATGTATGTATGTAATGCACAATTTGCTATAAAAAATACCATGTTCCTGTGAAATATATGAATTTTGTTTACCAATGTACATTTTATTTTTTAAATTGACATTTTAAAGGTTTAATTGTAGATTCTGTTTTAGCCAGTTGTATTTTAACAGTATTTTGTTATCTAGTCTTTATTAGTGTATTATTGTTGATTGAGAAATTTTACTCAAGGATATTATCTTGTTTTTATGCTATAATTTAGAAAATAAATTACGTTTTTTTAATTTTCTTGTTTCATTATATAATTTTTTCAATAAATGTGGGCATTTGAGCAAAATACCCAAGCAATTTTTTATTTTTTACATTTCTAAAAAGAAAAGCTGCTTCGCAGTATTATGGTTTCATCATATTGTAGCGAGTTCGTAAGTTCGGAATGTCCTTGATGACTTGATGATACGAGAGAAAAATAATTAAATGAGAAAGTGGAGGTCACCTGTTAATTTACCCTTCATGCTGGCGGAACGGAGGGGAGCCGAGTTCGGATAAAACCAACTCAGTTCGATTAAAAAACTCCTTGGACCTATTACATCTGTCAGTTTGAGGTAGCAGCAAAAGTAAATAGCTGGCTACAAGAGAAAAAAAGGCCACAGCATTGACAAAAGTCAATTTACGCGGATGTGCAACGGACATCTCGCTGACACTTTCTCCCAATGAACAAGAAGATTACAAAGCTTTGGTTAAACAACTGTGATATGGCCAGACACATCTGTACCATTACCAACTGAAGAATCTTTGGCAGAAATCAAACGAGACTCTGCAAAAATTTGATACTGATACGTTATGGGACGATTAGCAAGCCTTTTTGGATGAACAATAATGAAGACAGGCTCTGATAAAGGCTCGTCCGAGCCAACTGGTTTTGCATTGGCTCAAGCTTTGGAATTCAAGGCGGCAAAGCAGAGCTGCATGAGCCAGCCTGGAATAAGGAGAGCCCAGGGAGAGAAAGAAGAGGAACCCAGTATAATTAAAGCAATCAGGCGAGTTTTTAAAGAGAATCTACCAGAGAAGGAAATTCGGTGTTGGAGATGTGGAAAGCTAGGACATATACAAAGTCGTTGCAAGTGACGCCCCCTCAGTCGGAAAACTAAATAGTGTCGAGAAAAGGGGGCCACCGTCGACCTGTTACCAGTATGCCCCAGAAGATACCGCACCTCTTTTACACCAGTCTACCAGCGTTTTTATCGATGGTTTCATTATTGGAAAATTACATGTGCTTCTGCTGGATACAGGTGCTTCGAAGACAATTATTAGGCCCGATGTTGTCGAAATGTCCAAGATCAAATCTACCAATAGGCGACTAAGTACTGCAACAGGAGATACCGCTACTGTTCATGGAGAAGTGGACATCGGTAATAGGAAACACGAAATTGAAACATCGAGCAGATAGTAGCAGATTTGAAGATAAAGATATTGTAGGCATGGATATTATGAACTCTTCAGGATTTGAATTGAATTTTCAACGAAGAATATTGACATTCTATGTGGACAAGAAAATAAGGGAGGACAAGAACTCTACAGCATAAAATTTACACCGGTGATTCATAGCCTATTCGACAGTCGGCAAGAAGGCTGCCACTTGGCAAGCGAGAGGAAGCTGATATAAATGTGAAAGAAATGGAGAAGCAAGGGGTGACCGAACCATCTAACAGCCCATTGTCTTCCCCAGTGGTATTAGTTAAGAAAAAGGACGAATCAACTCGAATTTGCGTCGATTTTCGCTGGATCACAGATATTTTCGGATTGGATTCGGAATGCACCTGCAAGTTATGAAATGCTCATGGAAATGGTTTTAAAGGGACTATCTTGAAAGACATGCTTGGTGCACCTTGACGACATGATTGTTGTTTGAAAATCATTAGAGGAACCCGAAGGAAGTATTTCAGCGCTTAAGAAGTTCTGGCCTCAAGCTTAGCCTGAAGAAATGTCACTTGTTCCAGAGGAAAATGCAGTATCTGGGCCATGTTGTTTCAAGTCAAGGAGTGGCAGTGGACAAACACGTTATGAAGACTGTGCGGGAATGGCCAATACCAAAAAATAAACATGATTTAAGAATCTTCCTTGGATTTGAAGGTTGCTAAGCCTTTGACACGTTTGATAGATTAAGATTAAGTAATTACTACGTTATTCGACGTGAGTTGTTGGCAGTGGTAATCAATCGAACACTTTTACAAGTACCTGTATGGACGAAAATTCTTGCTAACGGACCATACTGCTCTAAAATGGCTTTTACAATTTAAGAATCCTGAAGGACAGGTAGAAATATGCAGGGCCGAAGGAAAGGAAGTGTTTATTCGCAGGACTACACTCATTGGCAGTCCGCTGAGGTGCAACAAGACCAGAAAGGGGACCCGAATTTAAAGCCCATCATCGACTGGATGAAGAACGACCGCAGACCGACGTGGCAGGAAGTTGGCCAATATTCGCCGAATTCGCGTACCCCTAATGAAACTCCATAATCTTAAGTGACGGACTGCTTTGGGGACTCTAGAAGGAGGGGAAGACCGGAAGCAGATAATAATCCCCAGAAACAGGATACCAGAGGTGCTACAGGAAATTCATGATTCACTTGGGGTGACGGGAACGGGTTTATTGGGTCAACTGCCAACGAGATGTGATGGAATGGTGCAAGAAGTACGCCGTTTGCGCGGCAAGAAATGGACCCCAGAAGCGCCCAAAAGCTTCAATACGACAGTTCAACTAGGGCAGAATTGCAATCGATGTTTTGGGTCCATTTCCGGAAACAGACTCTAAAAATAAATACATCATCATTGCACTACTTCAGCAAGTGGGCGGAAGTGTACGCTTTTACAAACCAAGAAGCTGCCACAGTAGCCGATGCCTTTAATAAGGAGTAGTTTGTCGTTTTGGTCTCCCAATAGAGATGCATTCAGACCATGGCAGGAACTTTGAATCTATATTGTTCCAGAATGTCTGTATAATTCTTAACATTCGGAAGACAACGAAGACCGCATTACATCCGCAGTCTGATGGAATCGTAGAACGAATGAATAGAACGATAAACCGGTACCTGTTGGAGGTAGTCTCTAATCATCAAGAGACTGGGAGCGCTTCCTCCATCTGTTCCTGTTGGCGTACTATTCTTCTATCCACGATACAACTGGAAAAACGCCCGCCAGAATTGTTATGAGATGTAAACTTTATCTACCTTGTGACCTGAGGTTTAGATGCCTACCAGGGGAAGATATTGCTGGAGAAGATTATGTCAACAATTTGTAAATATGTAAACATAGGAAAATCAAGGCGGATAATGAAGGATTTCAACCTGAAGACCTAGTTTGGTTATACAACCCTCAGCGTCGTCGTGGTTATTTCCTGAAGCTGCAGACTTCTTGGAAAGAGCCATGCGAAGTCATGGATCGCATAAATGACATCGTCTATAGGATCAGGAAACAACCAATAGGGAAGCCGAAAGTGATTCATTTCAACCGATTGTCTCCTTACGCTGGAAACAATGATGACCAAATAGAAAATGCTAGAGTTAAAGATCTTTCAACTCGAGTTGCCTTTTGAAGACTTTATGTATCTAAATTCGAGTGGTAAAAAAGCTCAAGAACAAGATCTCTTCATGGTTTCGTCCGAGAAGATCTTACAATGTCCAGGGGATAGCGGTCGTCTTTAAAAAGAAGTTTGGACAAGTTGACGAACTGCGAAGGCTGAATCCCAAAGTTGGAGAATTATCGAAATAGTGGATAACGAGCAGATAGGCAACAGAAGCATGTTTTATCAGGTAACGAAACAGCTCTCCCATCAGAAGCCAAACTCACATACTACTTCAACTGTGTAGAAGTATGTGGCCAACCTACCATGACGTATGGAATGTCTTACAAAATTTAAGGGATACCCTTTTGTCCAAGGACATCATTAACCTGGCGATAACGAAGCTTGCTTGATGACTTGATGGTTTAGACTGGAGAATAATTAGAAGTATACTTTTAATATGCTGGAATACTTTATATATGCCGGAATTTATCTCATTCTTGTCTATTGCCAAATCCCTAAAAGAACAATCGAAATGAATACCGTAGACTGCTACTTCTATAGGATGTCACAATACAAGTTTGGACCCCTATGGAAATATCGCCATAGTCCTCAGCTTCACACTTCGGACTTTTCGGGACGAAAATGTAGCAAGTAAGTTCGGAATGTCCTTGACTCATCGGCGATAAGTCATCGCTTGTTTACGGCGGGGGATTTCTAAACGATCGAGAGTGGTGTGGAACATACTGGAAGGTTCGAGAAGGTCACGTACGCTAGATAGTCCCTTTGGAGCGTCAAGGAGTCAGTTAAGCTTTGGTACTCGCAAAGAAATAAATTAAATAGGTACCGATAAATAAATATACTTTTGTACAAGTGACAGGGCCGATCCTGGCGAGCGTGCATTGCGGGCACATTTTGGGGGCGCAAAATCTAAGGGTCAATCAGTACTTTGTAACGATAAACTTTCTTGCAAATAAATACATACATAGAATAAAGTTTAACGCTTTTCTTTGCGTTGGCCGCATTAAAGCCTTATGCCGCTCTTTCTTTCGGCCGCTATAAGTGCCTTTTGCCGCTTTGATATAGGCGGTTTATTTTTTTTTATATGGGTATCAAATTGTCATAATATTTTTAGTATTCGTTTGATAGTTGACGGTAGCAGTAGCATGACTTTGTAACATGCTTACATCACTAAAAACCAGTTATACTTATTATATTGTTTATACGATGTGGCTCCCGTCCCGAGGCGGGACTTAACTTCGATCCCGACAGACGTCACACACTGTAAATCCGTTTTTATTTCCCGAGCTTTTATAATTTGTGTCAAGCTGGATGGCTTTAAGCCATCTAATGGATGGTAGGGCGATCGCTTGGCATGCGAGAGGTACCGGGTTCGATTCTACTAGAAGTTGTCAAACTTTTTTTATTTTATAAATTTGTTGTTTCTTTGTTAAAAAGTGTTTTATTTTTATCGTAACATAAATTTGCCCATTTTAGTTGGGTTTTTTGCTCAATGGGGCGGGGGGGCCAATGGGGCGGGGTCGGTTGGGTTGTGTTGTTGAGTTTGGGTTGGTTTGGTTTTATGACGTAACTAACGTGGCCTTAACATGTATACAGGTACAATTTATTTTTATTATTATTTTATTATAACATAACAAATCTTAAAATTATGACGTCAATCGGGACTGAACTTAAGTCCCGCCTCGGGACGGGAGCCACAGCGTTTTATTTAGGGTATTTTTATTACTAAATATTTTTTATAATTTTGTTTGTTTTGGTAATTTAATAAATATTCTTTTATACTTAATTTCAGCACTTTTTTTACATTTTCAATTACATATTGCCAGTTTGTCGCAAAATATATATTTTTTTAAATTTTAGGGCTTAAAATTAAAATATTTAATGTATTATATTTAAATATAAAAGGGGCGCACCAAAGAATGCTGCACGTAAGCGCCAGACACCCCAGGAACGGGCCTGAATAGTGATACATAAATAATTAGTAGTTAAGTGACATTCTTTATCTCTGGTGACTGTTAGTTTCGCAGATTTTTAAGTGTTTTTATTGTAAATAAGTTATAAAAATAAATTGTTAGTTCGTTATTACCTCGCGTATTTTATTCACACTGACAAACTACAACCACATTACAATTATTGTATATTATATTAATATCGAGATTAATATTATGCAAAAAATAAAACCACCACAATTATGTTATACTATACAATTATAATTAACTTGTATAAATTTAATACAAAATTTACACTATATCGCATGTTTACCATCAATTCTACGAATTAATTTGGAAATTTTTTAGTAGTCATTTTTTCATACGTCACGATAACCTATCTTTACACATCATTGGCACTCTTAAGGGGTCATTCAGTGGATTACAGAAAAACTTCTTAAGAAAAAAAAAGAAAAAATACAATGAAAATTAATCAGTGTTAGCAAGAAGAGTATTTTTCCATTGTCCAGGTCAGTCAACCTTTGTCAGTTTTTGTCATCCATCTAGTTTGTTTTTTGAGGTGGGGGAAGACGTTATGCCTATTTCTCCAGACTCCAATTGTTTTAAAAGTCTAAAAAGTGCGGCTGCTTCCCTGATTCGGCTAAATTCTATGCAAAATGCTTGAACTTCGATAAATAATTCCTAAAATGTTAAGTTTATAGAGATTTTGATTCTATTAAAAATGACGATATATGTATTGCAATTTTTCTATCAAATTAAATCAAAACATTTACTATTTACCTGAACATTTATAATTTTATTCCTTATTAAGGACTGCAGAAAAACGCAAACCAATCTGACCAATCTATTCTGCATATACCTGTCTTTAATAGTCTCACAAGTAGAAATACAATTCGAAATATACAAATGCACAAACTCTGTAGGTAAATCCACTGTAGTAGTTAGCCTATTAACAACTTCCATTGAATGCAGTGACATCTCCATATTAACCAAAACACTGAAATACTCAGTAATTTGTTTTGACTGCATTAACTTCAATAAAACCTCAATTGCTATTATCGGATTGTTTTCCACCAATTCCGGCAACTAAAAACATAAAAAATAACAACCAAACGTTATAATTTTTTTTTTATTTTTACTTTAGAGGGTGTTAGACCTATATGGTACACCAATTTGCTGTCATTGGTCAGCTCATTGATCAGCTGCTGCTGCTGGACCAATGAGAGGGCGGATTTGTAAGCTTTGCTCATTAATTGTTTTGCTTCCAGGCCCGCCGTGTCCGGCACTAACATTGTCGAGTCGTAGGCAATCACGTGCTCCTTGGGCCAGGAGGGATTCAGCCATACCAACTGAGAAATTTTAAATGTTAGCAACTTTTTTTTCGTTGAAAATTAACTTTACCTCATCGTCGCAGTTTAATAAAGGGGGTGCTAGTGTTACAAATTCCGGTTTGTATATTTTATTAATAGGGGCTTCTTCACCAGTAACGATTTTTTTAATTAGCAAGTCAGTTTGAGTTGTATCTGTAATGTAACTAAAAGAAAACATTTTGGTAATTTATTATACTGAGCAGGCGCGGCTCGTGACCTAAGATGTCGTGCTGCAAAGCGTAGGTATCAGAGATATAGAGGTATATTTATAGGTAGGTATCAACAATTGGTGAAATTTATTTTATAAGTAGATAACACCATTGGCGGTTTCTGCATGGGAGCAAATGACCACGTGCACCCCCAGGGGGGTATGCATACAGAATTCAAAGGTAATAATAAAATGTTTTTTCTACTCCCACCTTTAAAACGCCCTTTATCGTACATGTTTCCATGACACTAAGTGACCTTTTAAATAGACATTGACAAGTTGTGGCTTTATGGCGCTTTAGTCACGGGCTGAAGTTAGCAACAGGTTTTTAGTCACGGGCTGAAGTTAGTTTTAAGTTAGTTGACAGTTGTCAAATGTCATACAATCGTTAAAATAAAGTGCCTTTCTTGTAAAATAATACTAAATGTGAAAATTATTTAATTATCTCAATGCAAAAATACAAAAGTATTAAATAGTTTCTCAACGCCAATATTTGAAAAGTTTATATGAACATTGTACTGACCTTTTAATTTCGCCTGCAGTAAACTTTAACTTAAATTCGGGCACGGACTCCACTGTGAAGTCCTCAATTTTCAAGAAATACATTTCGATTTATAACCTTCATAATCTGTGTTTATAAAATATGAAAACATTGACTCAACGATAAAAGTTTGATGGTGACACACAGATTACCCTATTGTATCATAGGTGGCGCTCTATACAAATTTTTGATTTAAATCATTTGTCGTAGAAAAAGTATAGTATGCACCTCGTTTATAAACTTTTCTATACACTCATAAATTTAAGCACTCGCGCGCAAGCTCGCTCGTGCCTTAATTGAATTCGTGTATAAAATGGCGTTTATCAAACTTGATACATAATATACTATTATTTTATAATTTATATTATTTTTATTTCCGAAAGTCCTTAATAATTATTATCGCACCGTTCCCAAGCTCCTTAATAATTATCTCGCCTCGCGCGCTTACGCCGAAACGGAATGAAACGAACGAGCTTTAATGACGAAGAACGGTGGCACGTGCGATAAAGTAGGCGGAGCTTGAGCAGTTTTTCTTAGCTTGCTGGTGTAGGGGAATCGCGAATTTTAATAGGAAAACGCGCACACATTTAGTGTGCTCCAAAACCAGTTTGCCACGGATTGTCTAGTTTTAATTTCGTAATTCGTGGGGTGTTCCTGTGTTTAGCGATTTTATAAAGGGTTTCAACAATGCTTTTATTATTAGTTCTCTGTTACATTAACGTTTTAACAATTATTATGAACATTTTAACGGTATTATATATTGAGTAATGAGGCTGTTATTGACAAGTTTGCTGCAAATAAGAACAGAAGAATGGACCAATGATAAAATATAAATTGGGATTTTATTCTTTCTTTAATAAATACATATTTCAATGTTTAATCCGATATTTTTTATTGTTTTAAAAGCATAAAAAAGTAATAATAGTCGTGCAAGCCATACAAAACTCCTTGCCGCTTTTTTAATTTTTTAAACCTCCTTTCTCATATGTCACAAACCGCAACTGGATAACACAATTGTGTTAACATATTTTAATTTGCAGCAGTTTTTATTTTTAAAATTTGTATTGTTAATACCTACGCTTTGCAACACTACCCCACATCCGCCACTGATACTGAGTAATAGTGAACATTTATAAATTTAAAAAAACAATTAATTAAGGGAAACATGCTGATAATAGGTGCTTTCCAATTGATCGTTTTGCAATGTAGCCTCAGGTTTTAAGTTTGCGTTCCATTACTCAATTGAAAAGCACCTAATATGGACCTCCTAAAAATTGTAATGCTAATATAACAGAAAAGGAGTTTCATATAATAAGCAGTTTACATTTACCACCTTCTAGTAATGTTCCGATCCAACAAAAGTACCGATACGATATTTCGATCCGGATTGTATTTTAAAGTATCGATACGGTAAACTATGGTCGTAGAAAAAAACAATACCATAGCTGCATAGGTATTAATACGCTTTGGACCCACATCATTTTGCCAAGAGTGTAAAAATAATATTTTTAAATAATAAAACAAAGCAAAATGTATTGATAATCATGTATCTATTGATTAAAAAATAAATACAAAATATCGAAGTTTTTTTAACTTTAGGAAAAATGAGCCGGCGGAAAAATTGTAAAATTTTATTTAATTATTCATATCACAAGAGAGTGAGATGAGAATAAATTGAAAATAAGATATTTAAAAAACCTGTCTGGCATTAGCCACAAGATCCTGTAAGGCTTGATAGGCTATTGGCTAATGACAACAAGTCAAATTTGTTATCCATTTGTTTAAAAACAAAATGGCGGATCTAATTTGGCATACATTTTTCCAAAAAATGTTCTGATTATCATAAGATCATAATCATAAGATGTAGATTGTAGTTATTTGTTTTACAAGTTTTACAAGCGTCTTTTTCATTAAATAAAGCTTTTCTCAAAAGGGAAATACAATGTTTTTTCTACGACCCTTTTATTTTTTATTATTTTCAAATACAAAACAAAATAACCTAACATGTTCGACAGCTGTTAAAATTACGATGCTGTCAATTTCTTTACACACAGAACCTGTCACTTTTCACACAGAAATGTCACTTTACATTCGAGTTTTGAAAAGATTCATTTTCTAAGCAACGATATAAGTAGTGGTCATAGAAAAAAAAATTATTTACATATTAAACAATTAAATGGTATAGAGTAACTTTTATTTGTTTTTTCTGTCATAAAGGATATAAATGTGTACTTTTTGTTAAAAAAACATTTTTTTAAACACTACCTGAAGGTAAACTATTGGAATATCGTATCGTACTGCGCATCAAACAATATTTCTATGTTGCATCCCTACCACCTGCTACTCAACAATATCGTTAATTTTACCTGTTAACATTTTTCTCAGGAAAACTTATTAAAACTGGAATGCCACTTTTACATGTTTGTGGTAATTCTGACTGTTTTTCGGCTAAAGTCAATTGTATAGAAGAAAAATCAAAATTTTGTTGCACAGGGCAGTCTGAATTTATAATTTGGATGGCAGTTTTTTTTAGAATCTAAAAAAATATATATTATTAAAAAATAAGTTAAATAACTAAAATAGTATTGTTTAAACTTTATACAAACAGACAATGATATAAAAAGATTGTAAATAATGTATCTTTAATCCTATTTAAACTTTGGCAATATACCAATGAAAAATAACCTATTAACAGGTTATTGAAATAAACTCAATAACCTGAATTATTCTGAGTTTCAGATAAATAACTGGTTATTTGCGCAGTGTGGCCGCAGTGAGCCATATATGAGCCTACACAAGGAGTCCGAACTTAACAGGGGAAATTGACAAAACCTGCCCACTAAATTGCACAAAAAAGGTCTTGTTTTTTACCACAAGATTGTCGACAGGGCCGTTCCTGGCGAGCGTGCAGTGCGTGCACGCACGCAGGCGCAACATTTTGGGGGCGCAAAATCAAAGAGTCAACAGAAACTTGTATCCCGGACAATTAGCAGTCAACTCCTATGTAAAATTGTCCGCTGAATCAGAAAATGTAGTCAAAAGTTGAGTGATTAATCAATGGTAGAACAGTTTTTGAGATATAGTCCGGGATACAAATTGATGTGGACTAGTTATTAGTAACTGCTTTTTTACTTTGAAAACTAGTCATTTTTGACTAATTCATTTTAGAGACTATGTCACTAAAAACCAGTTGTATTTTTTATGATTTTGTTTGTTTGGTAATATATTTATGCTTAATTTCAGCAGTTTTTTTTACATTTTCAATCACATATTGCCAGTTAGTCGCAATATATATATATATATATATTATATATTATATTATATTTAAATTTTAGTGCTTAGAATTAAAATATTTAATGTATTATATTTAAATATAAAAGGGGCACACCAAAGAATGCTGCACGTAGGCGCCAGATACCCCAGGAACGGGCCTGATTGTCGATGCGTACCTTGCTTAAAATACCCCATAAAGACCCTGTTCAAACCAATAGATATTTGTATCGGAATGTATAGTGTTTCTATAGGGTGGATTGGTATGTATAGGACCCATAGTTGGGATTTATGATTGTTCTATAGGGATATCCACCCTTGATTTATTTGCTATTGGTTTCAATGGGGAAAATACACATAAATGATGAAATTAGTTTTTCCCCCATAGAACCCCATAGGTTTTAATAAAATTTTGTCAAATGTTTTATGGTTGCTCTATAGGGATATCCATATATATCCTTTATTGAATTATTTCCTATCGGTCTCAATAGGGAAAATGTAAAAGTTATGGTGTGCCTATAGGTAATTTCCTATACATTGACTATCGGGCCGTATCCGGAAAAAAACATGGACAAATGCACATATTGAATCCGGATGCGCCCGATAGATTATTTTGTATAGGTCTCTATAGGGTATTTTAAGCAGGGTACTGACGTCTGCTGTTTTGGTAGCGTTTCGGTACAAATTAAACAATCAACATAACTAACCTGGTTGGAAAAAGTCTGTAACACCACATTGTAAAACACCGTTGTAAATACAGTTATCTGTAATATATAGGTTTCTGTAATTTATATTTTTAGTTATATTTACAGGAATCTGCGCATTTGACAGTTAAAGTTAGTTTACAATTTAAATTCATAGAAATTCGTTAAAAAAATAGCATTAAATTTAAATTACCATGTGCAAAAACTTCAACTTGAATTACTTGTATTAAAAATTTAATAATAATTTTTTGCCCACCAAAATTGAGTTGAAAAACTACCAAAAAAGTAGATATCTTTTTTAATGAATCAGATAAACCGGAATGTAACGAAGCAACGCCGGAGGCCTCTTTATTTAGTTCCGCCCAGTGATGTGAATTGTACGATAATTATCGTATTTGTACGATAATTATGTCCTGTGTACGATGTACAATAGGATGTAAACGATATTTGGTTGAATGTAAGAATGAATTGTTACATCTTTAAAGTTTAACTTCAAATTCCGCCATTTGGAATAGTGTATTTTCTTATTTCAATAAAGACGTTTATTATTATTATTATAATAAATATTTGTACGATAATTTAAAGATCCGCCTTGTTTTTTATTACATTCATGTATGGATTGAGAAGAAGTTACACTATACCCAGATAGCACAAGATAACCCACAGACGTCCTATTTAGGTAATTCTCGGCTTAGCCAGACCGAACGGGTCTGGGACATCCATAGAACGTCAAGTCTAGACCCTGTCCGGCTTAGCCTGATTAGGCGTATTTTGGACGTCCATCCATTGGATGTCCCAGACCCGTTCGGCCTGGCTAAGTCGAGAATTACCTAGATTGGACGTTCCTGCTCACACAGCACAGGATGTCCAAATGACGTCCATTGGACATCCTTTGGACATCTTGTACTATGTGGGTGCACCCATGGGCTATCATGCCTAAACTTTTTGTTCAAGAAATTTCGGATATGTAATAAATTGTGGGTAATATTAAATATCATGTACAAATTATATAAACCACCTATTTTTATGAGGTTTCTCTTTGGATGTTCGTGGAACAGCCTGAGGGTGTCACAGAGAGTCAATCAAATCAATTAGCCTTATTATAAGAAAGATTAATTTACAAAAAAATTAAGTTTATTATTGAATATAGGTAGTTTATAATACATATTCGTACTATTCGTCGGGATTTATACATTTATATTTACTTAATTTAAAATTTCTTGTTATCACGTAAAGGTAGTAAAATCCATTATTGCATCATTTTTAAATTCAATTAAATTCTATTCCCATTGATTATTAAGTTCACTACTTCTTTACTCAACGCTATTACGTTTAAATGTATAAAAACACCGTTATTATAACGTATAGTTTTAAATTTTAAACATCGGTCTTCTTCGGGTAGAACCGAACGGGTTCGTGAAGACGCTTCCCATACGAGGCGTTAAAATCCGAAATGTATTCCATCTCACCGCAGCGAATTGTAATCTAGAGTCCCGTCAGACGGTTCTCTATTGCGCTCCCGTTAACAGAGTGACGTCATCCAATGACGCAATCTTAGGACGGTAAGCAGATCTTTTTTCCTTAACCAACGTCCCGAGTCCGCCCGCTTCGAAACCAACCCAAACCCAACAACACAACCCAACCGACCCCGCCCCATTGGCCCCCCCCCGCCCCATTGAGTAGAAATATATTATATATCTAGCAAAATGATTATGAGGAAAGGTAAATAAATTAAAAAATTAATGTAAAATTAAATATAAATGCTTTTAAGGCCACATTGTATTATTTCGGCATATAAATTCTTTAAAAAAAAATTAAAAAAAGTTGTAGAGGCGCCAAGTATCGAACCCCGTATCTCTCGCATGCAAAGCAGGCGCCCTTCCATCGAGCTACCGAGCTTATTGTAAAAATCCTATCGCTCGAAAAATAATACCGATTTACAGTGTGTGACGTCACAAAGTGGAATACATTTCGGATTTTAACGCCTCGTCTTCCCATAATCCGTTGCAATGGCGTTCTTTTGCTGTGTGATGGCGTTTATGGCGGTGTTTCTACATTGTGTGTTGTGATTTCTACTAGGTCTTGGCTGTTTATAGACTTGTAATAGAATAAATTCAAGTAAGTAATTAGATTAGGTTTGTTTTGACTAATAGACTGTACCACACAAACAAAATTTACGGTTGCACTGATAATTGGGCGTAAAGAAATCGTGAAAACAAGGATTTAAAAAAAATATTTTATTAAAACACATTTTTATTGTTTTTACTTTCCAAGGGATTTCTTTCTATACTTTCTAAATTTTATTTTATCCTCCCAAAGCCCTACATCAAAATTTTACAACAACCAAACTACAAAGTGAGGTTATCATTTTTATTGTTATCTAGAAAAGCTTTTATTTATTTAATATCTAAAAAAGCTTTTATTCCTATTTAACCGTGAATTTTTTTTATGTGGTGCTCATGAGCTCATATACCGTTCCTTCATTTGCAAGCTATACATAGCCTATGTCATAGGGAAAATACATTGTAGGTGGACCAGACAAGTTGAAGTCAGCGCAAAGCAAGGAATGTCTGAATTTCGAATTTACCGGCAGTGGACGTCCAATGGATGTCATTTGGACACTGAGATGTCCAGGGGATATCCTTTGGACGTCCTCTGGACATTTGTGCTGTAATTATAATATAGGTGAATAAAAATGTTTGGTTAAAAATTTTAGGTGTTTTAGTTTTTATTCCTGTAAGCCAAATTATGGCCAAATTTGGTCCTAGGTCAGTCTTTAATAGACCATTATAGGACGGCCAAAGGACAACCAAAAGTGTCTACTTTGGAAGTCCTACGGACGTCCATTCGTGGTCTTCGGATATCCGTAGGACGTCCACTATGTCCTGGGTTGACGTCCTAAGGATATCTAGTGGACGTATGTGTGCTATCTGGGTATTCGATTGATCGTCATTCAACTGATAATCCGGTCTTTAAAATCACTTGAATACCTGGTAGTTATTGAAATAAATCGGTTATTCCCAACACTAATCATTTCTTAAACTTTTTTGATGGCGGAGCCCCTAAAAAGTCGGATCTAATATGATGAAGCTCAGTATGCTACTTAATTTATGATGTAAGTAAAAATTTTAGTGTAAATTTAAATAAAAAATCTGAGTGGATTTTTTTTTATTTGATGTTTATTAATATATTATCCACTTTAAACTTGCAATTTCATTTATATTTTGGCAGAATGTTTTTACTATTTTTTATATGATTGTTCATTTTGTTACAATATAATTATATTAATTATATTAATAGTTATTTATGTCACATCAAAGTGGCCTAACCTCACTTTTTTAGAATCTCATTTATTTATTCGCTGTGTCTAGTCTCACGCTAGCGTGAACGCAATTTTATTCTTATTCTCACGTTAACGTGAACGAAATTTAATTTTTATTCTCACGCTAACGTCAAAATAATTTTAATTTTATTTTCATTTTAACTTCATATATATAAATACAGATTAAAGCCTTTTGGTTTTTGGTTAAACCTAAGGCTGCCAACTTTGCCCAGGGGCGGTTTTAGACATCTACTGAGGGGGGGGGGCGAAAATAGAAAAAGCCCATGTGTAGTGGACATAATTCTGCCAGAATTGTTTTATTTAATTTTACTTTTTAGGTGTCGTGTCATTTGATTTTATTATGTAAATGTAATAAAATTTACTAATAATAAAATCGAGACTCTTTTACTGCAGCCAAACCAACCCAAACTCAACAACACAACCCAACCGACCCCGCCCCATTGGCCCCCCCGCCCCATTGAGCAAAAATCCCAACTAAAATGGGCAAAATGGACGATTTTCCAATAGTTAGTTTTAACTCATCATTATTGTTGTTTTTGTCCAGGGCAATACATTTTACGTACACTTGTAACAGGGCAGATTTCACAAATCGGCCAAACCGCCTGCCAACGTTTAAAAAACCTCAAAACCGCGAAAATTAGATTCACAGAACAAATTAGATTCTTGAAAGAATCTTAGGTTATGTTACCTTTAGTGACGTCACCGCGTGAGAATAAGAATAAAATTGCCTTCACGCTAGCTTTTTAAAGGAAATTGGCAACAAATTTTTGAGCGACATCTATCTTTTGCCATCTTGCTCATGCGCGTATCATTCTTGTCGGTGTGACTCATCGTAAAGTTTGACAGTTTGTTATGTGTGTTATGTAGTTTTCAACAATGGCCGATGTTGTTGTTTGAAATTGTGTGTTGTTTTGGTTTTTTTAAGGTAAGTTTAATTATTGTGGTAGGTGATAAACTTTTATAAAACTCCAGTTTTGAATTTCTAAACTAAATAAACCATTCAGTTAGTTATAGAAACAAATTGTTGAATCGTAAATTACTTAATTAATGCTTTGTTTTTTGTTTTCATACCTATGCATGTATATTTATAAATGTAGTTTTGTCATATTTGCGTTAATCCGGCTTTGATTTGAGCAACTTGTCCTCTCATCAACAGTTTTATCAGTATTTTTTCTTTCATATCCATATTATAATTTTGCAAATAGGTATGATTATTTGCTCAAATCGAACCATACATTTGTTCCATGTTAATGAGTTCATATTTTGATATTTATGCCTGTTTTTATTTATTTATTAATATTATTTTACACTAGTGTTCACATAATACAACAGGCTTTTGCTAAATTAGACCGCATTTGCTAATAGTAATGTTTAGTTAAGTAGGTATACACAAAGATAATAATAATATCTTTGGGTATACCTACAGTATATACTTAACTAAACATTACTATAGTATAGTTATTAAATGATGGTTAATTTTATTTGGAAATTGTTTAAGCGTTGAGTGAAGAAACACACCTTAATCAATGGTTTAAGGACTAACCAAGGAGAAACAGGATACAAGGATTGAGTAAACTCATCACTTAAAACATAAATAAGGTAAATTTTATTTTTAAAATTTAAAATTGTTTTTAAAATAAGATTTTTATAGGTTATATCCAATGAAATTATTCTGGAATGAAACTATCCATATTTTGGTCAATGTTTTGCCAGAGGGGTCCTGCTTAAAAACTATCCAGCTTACTTTCTAACTTTTGATCCACAATATAGAAAAATGTAGCAGATGCTAATCAAATTTAATCATATATCATTATTCTTCATAATTGGTTTAAATAAATATAAATTTATATTAATAACTAGGTATTAATATATATTTTTATTTATTTTTACTTATTTTAGTTTTTAGCATATGTTATTAACAAGGGGTTGTCCATAAAGTAGGTCACATGTTTAGGGGAAAGGCAGACCTGCCCCCTGCTTAAAATACCCCATAGAGACCCTGTTCAAACCGATAGATATTTGTATCGGGATGTATGGTGTTTCTATAGGGTGTATCAGTTTGTATAGGACCCATAGTTGAGATTTATGGTTGTTCTATAGGGATATCCACCATTGATTTATTTGCTATCGGTTTCAATGGGGAAAATACACATAAATGTAGAAATTAGTTTTTTCCCTATAGGACCCCATAGGTTTTAATAAAATTTTGTCAAATGTTTTATGGTTGTTCTATAGGGATATCCCTATATATCCTTCATTGAGTTATTTTCTATCGGTCTCAATAGGGAAAATGTAAAAGTTATGGTGTGCCTATAGGTAATTTCCTATACATTTTCTATCGGGCTGTATCCGGAAAAAACCTTGGACAAATGCACATATTGAAACTGGTAGCGCCCTATAGAATATTTTGTATAGGTCTCTATGGGGTATTTTAAGCAGGGCCACCAGGGTCAAGACTGAAAATATTATAACATCATTGATTAATATAACATAATAATATAATTATGTGGGACATGAGGGGAGGGAGTCTGAAATTCTCCAAAAAGGTGTGATATACTTTATGGATGATCCCAATTGTTTATTTTAAGTATATTTTTATGTGGGATTCCACTTTTTAGTCTGACAAAATACTTATTTATATATAACCTATAACCTATGTTAATAGATTTAACTGTAATGTTGCTATTTTTGTGTAATATATACAAGGTATTAAAAATGTATTAAATAAGATTTTTTGTCACTAAGAAAATTGACTGTTGTAAATGTTAATTAAGTATTTTTTTAGCATTATATCAGAGACTCTTTGATGAATGTGCACAAACGATGATCAAATTATATTACCTGATTTAATACTAATTAACTAAGTACCTATTTAAAAACTCATAATATCTTACAATGTATTTTTATTCAAAGGTTACTGAATGTCTTTATAATGTATAAAACAAATTGTTTTAAACAATTAATAGTTTATGTGTTGAAATTCGGCTCTTTAGGTTTTATTGTATTAAAATATACTAATATAATACTTATATTATCTTCAAGTAATTATTAAATCTCATTTTTGTTACAGAAAATCTAAAAATAACTTATTTATTTTACTAAAATAAAATCTAAACAGGCAAATTTATATAAAGTATGTAATGTAGTTAATTAACTACATTATGTGTAATAAACCATTAATTTAGGTTATATTGCCCTTCTATTTATGTATATATGTACCAATAAATGTTTATTTTAAATAATTTTGTATTTTTTAAATCAAAAATAAGTATTTTTAAATAATAACCTATTCAAATTTCGCGGGCTATCTCTGACCGCATCGAAAAACTTAAGATCAAGTAGGCCAGAGCGTGACCACCTCTTGTAAAATCGTTGTTGCCAATATTAGAATAGGAACTTTTAGTTCTATTATGTTCTGTGCACGCTAGCGTGAGACTAGACACAGCGTTATTTATTAGCTAAAGATTACATTAAATGTACAATAATTAGTATTGCTTTTAGAAGCAGTAATAGTTTGACAATACCTAGCAATCAGAATTCAATTAATTGTTTAATAGGTAGGTATCCAATTTCAATTTGTTTGGATTTTTATTTAAAAAATAGGTAGTTTGGAATGTTTAAGCTGTGTTTAACATTTAATTTCACTGAAAACTTAAAGCAAATTAAAACTTAAAAATAATTTCAATCGTAGAAAAAGAATGGTGCGTTTACTTGGTTGCTTAACCTCACTTTTTGTTTTATTATTCATATTTAATTTTACAATAATTAAATGAAAAATATTAAACACTAACAGTAAAATCAACATCGTCAAGTTTATATACCTCACTTTTTGTTTTATTATTCATATTTAATTTTACAATAATTAAATGAAAAATATTAAACACTAACAGTAAAACAAACAAATTAGTGCTTATTATAAATAAATTAAACCAGTTTAGTACGTTAATTTCTTAGAAAAGGATTAATTTGTCAAAACAATACCCCTAGCGAGAAAAAATCGAACTAATTACTAGCCTCATAAAAATTTTTATCGGCCTAGGCCATAACATGGTATTTCTTTATCGAATGTTGACAACAATAAAGTTTAAATTATAGACCGCGTGGAGATAAAAAAAATTTATAATCTGAACAACCCTAAAGGCCGTATTACAGCCGGCAATTCTTCTTGCAGCAATTATTCTTGCCATCAAGTTTTCAAGGCCGTATTGCATGTTGTTTTACAGTCAGCAATGGCAAGACAACTTGCTGTTTATTGCCGTGCTACCAACCGAAGAAAAATATACGATTTTGTAAACACTAAGTTTATTTGTTATTTAGTAGAGATATTTAAAAATTAATGAGTAAAATGGATACTAGAACTTTGAACAAAATGTCAATCATAAAACAAATAACCTTAAACTGTTTAAGTCAAACAGCGTCTCTTTAGAGAATTTGTAGTAGGGTTGGTAACCAGTTGGTTACCAGGTTACCAGATTTCACCCCAGAATTGCCGTGAAACGGCAATAAAAATCCATCCGGACCGATTTTCGGCAATTGCAAGAGATTCGTCGAAAGGTCTCAACCGCGCATGCCTATGGCAATTTTCATTGCAATTGCCGGCTGTAATACGGCCTTTATGTCATTCTTTGATACAATTTTAATAACAGTTAAATTAGATTTTTAGCCAAAAAATATTATTATCTTTAGTTTTTACTAAATGTAAATATTATTTTTTTTAATTGACATTTTTTTACTTACTGCATCTTTAGGAACATCAGATATCAACTGTGTGACAAAAAACTTTTCTGAATTCATTAACCTTGGCAATTGTCCTGGGTATTCCAATTTGGGGGCCCCCACATTGCTTTGGTGTTCAGGGGGGTACTAAAAAAGATTTAAAATATCCACTCGTAAGTTAAGTAAATAATGTAGGAACAGCGGTTATTTAAAAATAACAGGTTTTCACTTAGCAGGCTAAGGTAATTTAAAAAATAACCTGACCCAATTATCCTGTATGAAAATAACTGGTTATAGTAAAAGTGTTTATTTTTTAATTGGTTTGTAAGGAGGAAAATTTTGTGATTTACAATCACCATTTTTTTAATTAAACATTTAAAAAACCTAAAAGCAGATATGGCTATACGGCCATTTCAAGCGCGCGAAACGCACGAATTACAAAACTGTTTTTATAAAAAAAATTGTAGATTATTTATTATATAATATTTTGGCATCAAAATTGTCAAAAATATTCTTCTTTTATTAGGTTATACATTAAATAAAAAAAAACGCAAGAAATATTTTATAAAAGTAGATATAATTTTAATAATTGAAAGGTGTGGATGGGACAAAAAAAAGATTTATCTTGTCCCGTCCATCCCCTGTCAATTATTGAAATTATCTCTACTTTTATAAAATATTTCTTGCGATTTTTTTTATTTAATGTATAGCCTAATAATAGAAGAATATATTTGACAATTTTGATGCAAAAAAAATATATAATAAATTACCTACAATTTTTTTTATAAAAACAGTTTTGTGATTTGTCCCGTCCATCCGCTTGAAATGGCCGTATAGTATGTAAGCTCCATGACTTAAACAATAATCAGTCCATTTTAATAAAATTTGAATGATTAAGAACACTTAATGATTTTTTCTAAATCAAATTAAATTATAATTCAAGTTGCCCTAAAATATAGTTGATGCAGTTATTAGGTTAAACCTGAATTATAAAATAACTTGTTTTAACCATTTAGTTACAGCAATGTTAACAAGTTATTTAAATAACCAGTTAATTTTACCCATCCTTACTTACCAGTAAATGTATGAACACCCCAGCAAAAGGAGTGTTAGCCAAAGGTTCTCCACGGTACAATTCATGCAATAAAGTAATAGCAGCAAGTCTTTGGTCAATTTCAGGGAGCAAATCTTGCTGTAATAACATTACAAGACATGACCCAACTAAAATAAAAAATTAATGCTAATAATACATGGTAGATAGTAAAATACCCTTAAAATAGTCAGTAGAGTCAAATTTCTTCTTAATTTCATTTGCAAGAAAGTCTAAAGTATGATTTCTTACATTTGCAACATCCAGAACACTAAAAATCACAATTATTAAAAATCTATAAAAAAAATTATGGTAAATAAGAGTAACCTTAGCAAAATATCGCACTGATCCACATTTAACGCCATTATTTCTGCTTTTATTTAGCTAAAAATTAGAACAAAATCATAATTACTTTTAAATTTGACTTTTATAGGTTAATCTTCTTCTTCCTTATTTAAGGTTATGCTAACAACTTTCACAAAGATGTATTTTAGAGTAAACTTGATGAACGGACAAGGTCCTTTAAAAATGACAAAAGTATTAAATTTTAACAATATTCTTTTATATTTCCATAGTTTAAATAAAAATTAACATTCAAATTTCAAGCCGCGAACGCGTTTGTGAACAACCAATCACAGAACATAAGCAACCAATCACAACAATGAAAATCACGTGGTTAATTCCACCAATACTGAGGTTTGTTCTATGTACTGAGTGCGTTCGAAACAAGAGTGTCCTTTGGATATTTCTTTGAATAACAAACCTTTTTATTCAAAGGGATAAAAAACCTTTTTATTCAAAGCGATATGTTATGGCTTGGACAACCGAGAGTGCACTCTGGGCATATAGGTGCTGTTTTCAAACTGTTGACAGTTGCATATATCTAGAATTCGAACGCGCAAGTTAAACTTGGAGGGTATCCAGCAGGGATGTTGCGGATGCCGATTTTTTCACATCCGCGGATGTGAATGCGGATGCGGATTTTTGAAGGCTCAGTGCTCATTCATAATGGACGTAACCATAAGATGCCCGTAAGAAATACGTAAAACGTAAAGTTGAACATTAACAAAACCAGTGTGCCTGTTTATAATGAATAGCCGTAATTTTTACGTTTTACGTTCGAACATAAGATCTTATGGGTGACCGTAAAAAATACGTAAAGTTGAAATCATCTCAACTTTACGGGTTTCTTATGTGTGAATTTTAGTAACTTTCATGATTTCACTAGAACATTGTTGGTAGCAATCAGGGTAGTAGCCAGAGTCTCTGGTAGTAGCCATGCAAACAGGGGAACAGCTCGTTGCATCGAAACTCAATAGATCGAATCTCGCCAGATCGAAAATTTACATGACCTTCGAAGCTCACCAGATCGAAAATGTGTGGCATCGTCGCACTTTAAACATCAAATTGGTAAGGTTTGGTTCACATTTTTCATTAGGAAAAAGCGATTTTTCTTAAATGCAAACAAAGTTCGATCTGGGATGCCTGTAGATGTATATACAGTATAGTAGTTTAAGCAACAAAATTTAAAAAGTTATTTATTCTTAGGTACTTTAAAATGGTAATATGTACACTAAAAATTTATATGAATACTTGAAAACATTGACAAGTGATGTATTTTTATTCTATGGTTGTAAGGAGTGATTTTGACATGTGAGTTTAAAAATATTTTTTATAATAAAATTAAGTTTTTTTTTGTAGAATTCCAATTACCTATTCAAAGTTGAAAGTAGAAACAGTTGGTCAATTTAGGATAGATTTGTAGCATGACCATTAAATTTTACCCAGGGCAACACTAATACATGTCAGCATCGCCAACCAGTCCTTTAAACATTTTAAATTTTGAAATAAAAGAATTAATATCTTAGATGACCTTTTTATGTATAATTTGATGAGTATGCACTTAATATCTATTTTAAATGTGTGTTTTACTAAATATTGTATGTTTTCAGTACCTCCTGAGGATGACGAAAGGTGAAAGTAATCAAGATACTTAATTAAAAAATAAAAATATCCATGATGCGAAATTGTCACCGACACTGAGTTAGAGAAAGGAGAGAAACATACAAGATCTTTTATGTATCCTTCGAAGGATACTATGTGACAAGGGGTGAAACAGAATTGGCAAAACTGAAAACATGACTCCTAATCGATGAGTTGCCAGTTGGTACAAAATTATGCAACCAACCACACATACACGTATGCTTTGTTGCTTGATTCTTCCAAAACTTGGCCATGGTGAAAAAAAGTTGGACATCATGTTTTGTGTGCCATTGGGTCCTGTTTGCTTATAAGAACTTCTTAAGAAGGCTTATTTAACTGTGTACAGTTTAAAACGTAAGTATTTTGTTTAATTGTCAGCTTTTTAGCAAACCTTGGTTTTCTATTACTGAAGTCCAGTTGGTTCATAAAAAAGAATAATTCGGTTATTAACTTGTGGCAATACAAATAAAGCAATATTATAAACTTCTCAGTGTTCTAAAATATATTAGTAAAAAATATAATCAATACTTTACAAACAAAATTATTTGGAAAGAAAAAATATTAGAAGCAGTTTAAATTGTTAATAACAACAATTTGTTACGTTTTATTTCAAATGTTAAATCTTATAGGTTTGTTACCTTATTTTTTAACCAAAGTTTACTAATTATTATTATAGTCACTGCAATAATATTGTAACATAATTATTAATAGCCACATAAAATTTTTTGAATAATGTGTACATTTAAATACATCCATTTAGATACATAAATGAGAAAAATGCATCCAAAAAGAATTTAACAGTGGAACATTTTAAAAAATTTTAAAAAAGGTAGAATTTTTTAAATTTAAATTTCATCAGTGTTAATGTGTGTTATATTATTGTTTTACTAAAAATTGCCCAATATATTTTTGCTTTAAATTTTATGTTAATTAAATTTTTAATTTTTAAAAGGAGTTGGAATATGGAAGCCATGGGACACCAACCTGAGAATATAAACTGAATGCAATTAAAGTTGGAATATGAAATGTATAGGTATAACACTACCCTAAGAACATAAACCTTAATTATATAAATGCAACACAACCCCCAAGTTTGAATAAGGAATCCATTGTACACCAACTGGCAGACATAAACCCTACTTAAGTAGGCTACATAATATGTATCCATATTATGGATATTATGTGCCACTATCCTAAGAACATAAACCAAAATATGTCAAAAATTTTGTACTGCTTTTTTTAATATCTTCAAGTTAAAGGATAACATAAAAGTTAAATGATATGCATATTCTTATTTTTGTAAGGAAATAATAAATCATTACCTATATTATATTTTTTTTTTTTAAATACTAAACAATTAGGTACCTATATTTTATTATTAATTTATTTTTGTAAAAGTAACTTTTTCCCAGACTGCAATGAAGGTTCGAAAATATTCCAGGAATATTCCCTATCGCCTAGGAATAATCCGCTTCATTCTAGGAATATTCATTGGGAATATTCCTAGAATGATCCTCTAAAACTTCCAAGCATCATCTAAGAATATTCCCAGTGAATATTCATTAGTTTAGTTGCAATACCTCTCACCGTTGCTTACACACGCTTGATAACTATATATACCGATAGGTTAATAATATTAGTTGGAGATGTGCGTCTGTGATGGCACAGCCAAACAATGATTGGAGTGGGACTGATCTACTTAGTAACTCAATAATGGCTATACTTAAGTTAAGTTCCTGGGTATAAGAGGCAATAAGGGCTGGGAATAATCCCCAAATTATATCAAGGAATATTCCCCTAACAATCCTTGAGTCTTCTGCAGGCAGATATATGGAATATTCTTTTTATGATGCCTGGGTTAACCAAAAAGCGGACATTTGATTATGCCAGGAATATTCCTGGGAATATTGATTATGCCAGGAATATTCCTGGGAATATTCTGGGACGATTGGAATATTCCTGGGAATATTCCTGACATGTGCAGGGAATGTGATTTTGCGGTCTGGGTTATTATTAAATTTGCTTTTACTACTCTTTTTTTGTAAGTTATAGAGTTTTTTAAGACTGATGGACTTTTTTGTAGGTAATGCAGTTATTATATCTCTAGATGAAAGTCCAAAATTTTAAATATAATCAATCAAAATTTAAACAAGTTTTCAATATATTAAATACCTTTTTTTTGAATCCTATAATATTGTACAAGTATAAATTAAAAACTTTATTTTAAGAGAATTATATAATATTTTTAAAGTTTTAAAATATGAATTATTAATATAGAGTCAATCCAAATGAAAACACCAAAAATGAATTTAAAAGTGCATGCGCTGCATGATTTTTTATTGTACCTAATGAAAAAAATTGAGGATGATCTTTTAGGTGTCAAATATGAAAATCCGTTGCCGTTTTAATTTTTTGTTGCTTTACTTTTATTTGGCACCCCTTAAAAGTCTGAAATAGTGTCAATTTCTTACTCTCACTATAGTGGGCCAGAACTTTTTTTCTGTGACAAATATTGAAATAATTTTAATTTTGTTTTACTGTCCAGTAAGTGTGTTTTCGATATAAATTATTATTATCCAATTAGTTAATCTCATAAAAGAATGGTAAACCACTAAAGATTCATGATAATTTGCCAATTTTTGTGATTTTTGTCTGACTCCTGTGCCTATTCTACTGAATTTAGAAGGTTCATTTTTTTCAGGTATAATGTACTTATACAATAGAAAACGTAACTATTATTTAAGTTTCTAGACTATCAATTTCTTTATTAAAAAAATTATTGAAAATTGATAATTCTCAAAATTAGCCAATTTTGCCCTCAGAAATCATTATGTTGAGGAAAAAATATAAATCTAAAACTTTCAGGAAATGTAGTTCCCACCTTTATCTTTTCAGTCCAGTTAGTCTTGTTTTGTTATTTTTATTCCTTTAAAAGATATATTAATTTTTTTAATGCCCGTTTAGTAGCGATATTGTTAGTTTTATTTTTAATTTAAAATTTAGATGGCTTTGACTTTGTCAATTCATGTTTGGTAGAGAAATGTCAGAACTGTCAAAAATATTTCATAAATTTTATTTGTGCGTATTTAAATCGTGATTTCAAAAAGTTTGCAAGTGTAATAAATGACGGAGTGTTCGAGATTCATGAATTTAATTGCAATTAAAAATGCAAGAACATATCATAATTTTGTACCTCTTTCTTATAGAAAATATTTAAGTTCTGAGAAGTTTTAAAATGTTAAAAATAAGCAAAAACCAAAAAATATTCTAAATAAACTCCTTTATTATAACATGTTTTATTTTAACCAGTTACCTAAAAACTAAAATTTAAAGAAGTATATACAGATTGTGTAAATTTTTTCCAACACTAACATTTAAAATACATACATTTAAATTTTTACTATTTAAATAGTAATTAGTTAATTAGTGCCTTAAGGCACTAATTAACTAATTACTAAAGGGATCAAAATAATAGAACAAGACTAACTTGGTTTAAATTGTGAAAGAAACCGACAAAAAACTGCTTAACACATTTT